GCGCACCCCCCCGCCCCCGCCGCCCCCGTCCCGCCGTTGCCGTTCCCCCCGTCGTTGTCCGCCGCCGTCGCCACCGTAACAGTCTCCCCCCGAAGATGACCATAATAGTATTTTTGATCGACACGTCGGCCTCCATGAATCAGAGGGCTTATTTGGGTGGGCGGCCCACGCTCTTGGACGTAGCCAAGAGCGCCGTGGAAACTTTCGTCAAGGTACGCCCTGGACAGCAGCTTTTTACTCGTCCCGTCGCGCCGCGCCGCGCCACGCCGTGCCGCGCTGCACCGCACCGCGCCGCGCCGCGCCGAGCCGAGCCGAGTCACCGTCCTCGTCGTCGTGTCCGTACGGGATACACAGGGATGGAAGGGGCGAGGGAAAAGAAGAGGGAAGTATATCTATCTCTTTCGTCTTCCCTTTCCGCGTCTCTCCGTCTCTCTCTCGTTCGGGCACCTAGCCTTCTCGATGATGAGGAGGGTAACGCGGATCGTGCTCTGAACGTGGGAAGCGCGCGCGTGAAAAAAAAAGACAGAAAGAAAAAATATAAGTGAAATAACTCTTTTTCCAGGTTCGACAGAGATCGCCGGAGAGCCGCGGAGATCGTTACATGCTCCTGACCTTCGAAGATCCACCTCAGAACATTAAGGTATATCCTCAGTCACGCGTTTCTCCCTCTCTCTTTCTCTCCCATCGTTTTCTTTTTCTCTCTTCCACCTCCTTTGTATCTCCCGCATCTCGTCTACATGTGTCTCTTCACATCGTTTAATTTAGCCTATCTCTGCGAGGATGCTCCCTGAGAGGTGTTCATTCTTCTCCCCCCTCCCTCCCTTCTCTCTTGAACCATCCTGAGTTTGGGTTAGGTTCGCTTAATGGCGCCGAATAATTAATATGCGGTAGATATATGAAGGAGCGAACGTACACGGACGTGTCTCTGCTCTGCGTCAGTAGCATGACTCTCCTCTCTGACCCTTCGTCCCCGTCTTCGTTCTCTGCCCTGTGACTGCGAAAGATGCGTGTCGCTAGAGGTGCAATGGCTGGGAAAGAAAGTGCCATCCAAGAGAAAAAGGAAAGGCGCCTTTGGCGCCCTCCTGCGAATTTTGCGCGCCAATTTTGGCGAGATTCAAACCGTAGCCTCCATTTAAATCTACTCTTAACTCTTTATTCCTTGTTCTTATCGCTTCTGAATTATTCACCTTGTTCTTTTTACTTACGATCTATTCTCCAATCAATCTCTTATGATCCGAAACATATGGGTATGAAATGAGAGTCGAATCTTTTCCCGCACTCCTTGTTTCTATGAAGAGTCTTATAGTAAATTTAATGTCTGCTTTTTTATTTTTGAAAGTAGACTGAACTTTTTTCTCAATTTAGCCAAGAATCAAACATAGATTTCACATTACGTTTCAAAAATCTATACTAGTTCAACTATAAAAAACAGACAGAAAAACTTTTTCAGACAGTTACTTGCATTTCACGAGATTAGTATATATTAAAAGTTGCTTGAAATTGATAAGATATATAAATATAATGTAAAAGTACAAAAATATAAAGTATAAAGTATAATAATATTGTATATAATGATATTGTCATATTATTTAATAGAATGTATATATATTATTTCATCGTCAAAGTTGATTATATTATGTCACTATGTTCAGATACTTTAAGTATTTAAACGTTTAGATATTTTAAATATAAAGCAGTCTTTAATGCATGCTAATTCAATATAGTGCGAATGATCAAATACATCATTATCATTGCCCGTAAGGTTTACGTGAGCAATACTTGTTCCATATACGAACTGGATAAATTATTCGAAAATGTAATACAGAACAAATCGCCAGACTCACATTTAAATGTCTTTAAAATTTTAAATTTTGTTCGAAGATGTTTAGATATATTTTTAATAGTATTTTATGCAATTCTGTTATTTACAAATCATTATTGAATTCAACTGTACATGATAATTTTGGATTGACCTTTGGCTATAAAAATCTAGAATCATATAAGGATTTTTTTAGATGCGTTGTTATTTTATCTAATGTATGATTTTAGAGAACGAGAAGCATTTGAAATTATCTATACTTTTTATTCTCCCATGCACTTTTTAGTATTTTTAAACCCAATAGAGGAATTCAATGATTTATTTTCCACGTAATTGCCTTTATTTTATTTAAAAAAGATATAAGCTTAAATTAAGCTAGAAATTAACTTGACAGAGCTGTGCATATATTTTTCATGGTACCAATACTTTTTCAGGCAGGATGGAAGGAGAACTTGGCAACCTTTATGAACGAACTCAAAAACTTACAATGTGTCGGTTTGACAACGTTAGGTGCCGCCTTGAAACACGCGTTGGACGTACTGAACATAAATCGTATGCAGACTGGTATAGATACATACGGCCAAGGAAGATGCCCGTTTTATTTAGAACCATCCGTTATAGTTGTTATAACAGACGGAGGAAAATATACAACTAACAGCGGAGTCCACCAAGATGTAAGTGCAATCTCTTGCTGCTATTGTTAAATAAAGCATACGATTTCTTTTTCATCGTATAAGAACAAATGAAATTTTCTTGTAGTTTACGTTGCCGATGCATTCCCCGATACCCGGATCCGAACTAACAAAGGAGCCATTTAGATGGGACCAAAGATTGTTCTCTTTGGTGCTGCGTTTATCAGGAACACCAGCTGTCGAACGAGACATTGGCTTGGTGGCGAGTGACGCATCACCGATAGATGCAATGTGTGAAGTGACTGGAGGTAAAGGAGATGCAGCTTGTAATCTTACCAATCTTAGAATAGCAAATAGTTTCCTCTAGTACGTGCTATAAAGGAATTGAAATAAATTTTAAATTTGTTTCTTGGCTGTTATAGGTCGTTCGTACTGCATTACATCGTTCAGGATGATGATACAGTGCATAGATTCTCTGGTGCAGAAAGTTCAATCAGGTGTAGTGATAAATTTTGAGAAAATCGGTCCTGATCCACCGCCATTGACCAACGAGGCACCGCAACATCAGGATGAGGAGGAAAATGAGGATGATGGTAACGCAACGAACGGACCACGCACTCAGTATCCCAACGCGTTAGCGCCAGGAAATACGGCTTGGTATTCCTGCAGACGCCTGATCTACGTACCGCGGTCAGCCCAGAAAGGGTTTGCGGTAGGTTTTTGGCCGATTCCCGAAAGCTTCTGGCCGGATCTTAGCGCTAGCTCGTTACCACCACGATCGGCGCATCCAAATGTGAAATTCACGTGCACCAGTCAGGAGCCAATGGTGATCGAGAATTTACCGTTCGACAAGTACGAGCTGGAACCAAGCCCTTTAACGCAGTACATCCTAGCGCGGAAACAGCCGACAACATGTTGGCAAGTGTTTGTTGCCAATTCGTATAAATCGAGCGAAGTGGGCCATCCATTTGGTTACTTGAAAGCTAGTACAAACTTAACTTGTGTAAATCTCTTCGTCATGCCTTATAACTATCCCGTGCTGTTACCGCTGCTGGAAGAGCTCTTCAAGGTGCATAGGCAAAAACCGACACCTGAATGGAGGGCGCAATTCCAGGGTTATATAAGGACTATGCCTACCTATTACGCCGCCGTAAGTTTACCTGTACTTGTGCGAATAATCATATATTCTGAAAACATTTTTATCAAAATATCATTTATTGCAGTCGTTGAGGAGAGCGTTAACTAGGATGGGTGCGTCCGCGCCTCTAGCACAAACTTTGATACCCGATAATATGGATAATTCTTTATCATATAGTGTTTTAAATTATTTAAAACGGTTGAAAAATCAAGCTAAGATCGAATTTGATCGGCTGTGTAATGAAGTCATTTCCAAGCAAGTCGCTGCTTCGAATCTTACGAAGAATTTATCTAACTGTACCTCGAGTGTGGTGACGGAAGGAGTGAGAGTTGTACCGAAGACACCATTGAAAAAAGATTTGGTAAGATTTAATACGTTAAAAGATATAAAGATTGAAACATCACATTTAATATATTATCACAAATTACTTTAAAATTGTTTTTAATTGTTACTAAAGTTTCTGTGTGTGCTTTGTAGGTGTCCCATCCTTTGTTACAAGACAAGTTTACGGGTCTCCGTGATCAACTGAATGAATTCGGAGGTTTTGTCGTTGGGTTAGTGAAAAATCAACAGCAGCAACGTGGTGCACACAGTTATAGGAACGCCTTCGATGTGCCGAGAAAGTCCCTACTCGATCAAGTCGTGCGGATGCGCGCAAATTTCCTGCAACCCGGCTTATTGCATACAAAATTACTAGATGATGATTACGTTCATTCGATGCCTTTAGCTCAAATGGGAAATTATCAGGAATACCTAAAACGTATGACTCCGCCGTTGAGAGAGATCGAAAGTGTACCGGTTAGACAGCATATGTTCGGTAATTATTTAGTAAAAGTAACTTTTCTATGGTGCATAACTGTGTACATAGACAGATAATGTTATATTTCTATGATAGGTAATCCCTTCAAAATAGACAAAAGGATGATGGTAGATGAGGCGGATATTGACATAGTTGGCGCAACATCCTCGACATCGAAAGGCGGTCTCAAGCGCACCCTGCCGCAATCGGATAACACAGGCTCATCCTCTCCGAGGCCACCTCCTAACAAAAGGAAGCCTGGACCCATACCGAAAGACGTGATCGTTCGACGACCCTCGTATACTAACACTCCACCGAGTTCCCCGATTCCTTGGATGATGGAGGACATGAAGAGTCAAGTGACGGTGACAGTAACAGCAGCAGCAACAGCAGCAGCAGCAACAACACCAGTCGCCGATACGAACGCTCCGCCGATCTTATCTTGTTTGCCCAATGTATCGCCAGGTCACGCGTCGTTACCGTGTTCGAGTGCGTCCGAAAAGTTGGTAAACGGTCTCGCGGAAATGCCAATTATACCGGTTTTCGAACCAATCCCGGTGGAACATGTTAACAATCACATGGACACACCGCCCGTTCTGACGCCGATAGTTAACAATGTCGACGCAATATCGAAGGGTGATGTTAAAAGTGAACGAACAGATAATGTGAAGAACGAGTGTAATCGATTACCGATTAATGATTGTATCGAGAATAACATGCGTGTGGACAATGCCGCTGAGGAGAGATTAACGAATCACATAGAGGAGAAGCGCGAGCCGAAGACCGAGAGAGACAAGAAGCTGACGAAGAAGGAATTGGAGGACATCAGGCGACACAATTTGAATATCCGGGAACTCGTTTACAAGGAAGTGCGAAGAAGAGGGAAAAGTAAGTCTTCAACGCGCCAATCGGTTCTCTTTTATATCCTGAGAAACGTCGCGAGATTAATGATTAACAAAAAATTATATCTATCGCTAACGATTCTCGTAACAGCGTTAACACGTGACCAATTCATTTCGTTTCAGATTACGCAACACTGTTCTCACACTTACATCAAGTTCAGGGGACCCTAGATATACGGCTTGCGTTTGTAAAAGACATAGTAAAAGAATCATTACGCTTTAAACGACGTAATTTGGCGTCACTGTTAGAAGAATATCTTAAAACCATTCAAGAGGACGGTTGCGCTATAAATCACAAGCTGAATCACAATGGTGCCACGAAGATAAGTTGTTAAGATATATGCGTAACCAGGGCATTGTCTTAATAGTGTGAAGAACACAGATTGCGAAGGAACTCTTGTGCAAGTTTTTGTCAAAGATTTTTAGTAGTGGGTTTCGATTTTTTCGAAGTAAGGCTACTTTTGATAATCAATGGAAAAACTTGCGCAATTTTGAGGTTTCTAGCAAATTTTAATAGCATTCTCGACGTCAACCATATGTCACTGTTTATTTTTTGGCTTTGTAAATTATCAATAGAAATTTTGGATATATCATGTAGAAGGGTGCTAGTTTAATATTAAGACAACCGCTCGACGAATAAAAAATCAGGGTTCGACTCCTGGACTTGGCATCCCGTTTATATAACACTAAGAATTTTGTTTGGGAAAAATATTCTGATACCAAATATACAATATGTATATTTTCGTGAAAATGCTAAAATTTGAAAGTTTGGAAGCTTTTAGATATTACGTGGCACTCTGCACAGCCATAAATTAAAGCAATGATTTTTATTTAGTAATTCACTTCATTAGTAATGTGAAAAAAAAACGGAGCAATATTTGACGATATGTATTAAATTTTGTTTAATTATATTTCTCAATTAATAATAATATATATATAGTCTCTTCCTAAAACTTAATTGTTTTAAGTGTTAATTCAAAAAGAGATCCAAGATCTTTTTCATCTTGGATATTCTAAAGTATCCTAAGTAACACACAACCGTAACGTGATATATTTGCGCAACGTGTGGAATCCTTCACAAATACACGCGTATTTGTATATCGTTACATGTAAATACATTCGCACATTTATTTCATCGTCTACTATATGATGTACTTTTCCATAATCTCGGAATTCTGCCGGATATCATTTGGCGCACATATAAAAACGTCTTGGATGCTGGCATGCAAGACATTAATTGTGCTTGTGTGAAATAATAATATAAGAATGACTATATTAATCTTTTAAATACGAATCCACAATGTTTCAGAAGTACAAGTGCAATCAAATGAATCGGTGCATAATTCTATCCAGTTCTCAACGCCCATGTCGGATTTAGGATATAATTATATTACTCTTACAATTTACATTTCCTATTACTACATTTAACCTGTCTATAATCACTTGTGATCTATATTATTAAGTTTAATAAAATGCCATAATTTAATACACACTGTACCGAATTGTCTAAATTTTGTTGTGCATTTTGTTGGATGTCAAAAGCAAAGATCTGGCTTTTTATTTGATGATACATTAATAATCGCGATTTCTATATAAAGATGAGAACATATCCTTTATTATCTGTGAAACAAGAGATTGTAGAGAAAATCGCACATCGCACATAAAAGAATTTATTATGTAAATTATTGAATTAAAATATTATTAAGGAAATGAATAGGAATTCTTGGTTGCAGTGAATTCTAATTCTTTTGCGTGTTGCAACGTTTAGCTTTCGTATGCGAGACCTATCATAGATAGGATTGTACCAAAAAATATTTGTGTATATTTAAACGAGACATGAATGCAGGTTTGAATTTATTGTGAAATCTACGAAGGGTTGACAGTGCCTGATGCTATTTGAAATTGAGATAATATATTCAACCCACTATGTTTCCAAAAAATTTTTTAATATGTTAGTTTATTTTACATATAACAAATATATATATATATATGTTTTAAAACTTTAACTGTCATTTTTAATTAAATATACATTGTGCATCAGAAATAATATAAAAAATATACAAAATTCTCTATTATTTTATGATACATTTTCTGTTATATTATACAAAATATTCATATATATACGTATGCACACACATATGCGCGCGTGCGCGAAAAATGAACATAATAAATTTTATGTAAGAAAATTCTAAAGATTTTTTGCACTACGATATTGTGCTATTTTAGATTGAATTTATTTTGTGTACAAATTCAAAATATGTATAGTATAACAGAATCAAAACTGCGTTGAAATAATATATGAAAATGAAATCTGTGTTTTGTTCTCGAATCCTTATATGTATGTACAACACAACTTCAAAATTCAAAATAATGTTATATTCTTTCAAAAAATTACTTTATTGATGCACATGTGGGTTGAAGGAATGTATGTTAATAGCGATAATTATTTATATACCATTACTAGTTATACAAATGACAAAATCACTTACTGGTTTATATCGGAAATGATTTGACCAAATATAGGATAATAATAGACAAGGATGATTATCTTACTTTTATTTGCTTGTGATTTTTATTTGTTGTAATATTTGTTGTATATATTATATATCAAGTATCAATTTCTATTATCTTGATTTCCCTTAAAAGGACGTAGATAGAAATTAGAATGTTGATAAAATGAAGACATATCATATTATCAAATTATTATAAAAATTTATTTGATGCGTAGTCTTTAGAAATTGACATTTTCTTTTTATTTATAAAAGATATAACATTGTTTTCACTAATTTTGAATTTTTTATTAATAATTTGAAGTTCTTGTTGATATTTTGTTAATATTTTAAGTAAGATAATCAACCATATCTTCTCTTGTGGACATTGATAATGTCCAATGCTCTTTAGAGAATGGAAATGGATCGAAATTGTATTTATTAATTGAAAATACGTTAAATATCTTGTAAATTATTTTATAATAATGGAGCTTAGCTGAGTCTTGTAAAGGCAATGATGCTAGACGCTTATTTGCTCCAAAGAAAAATGAATAGAGAATTATTGAATAATTATTGATGTAAAAATTAATATAAAACTAAGTGCGATTGTATAAAAGAGATTGATGAGTAACTGGAGAAAATGTTTCGAAGTTTCAAGTACCTTGATTACAGTCCTTTTTTGTTACAGCAGCAGTAATTTATTATTATACTGAAACTTGTTAAAATGAATCAGTTTTAGAATGATTCTTTTTCACAAATTCATTATTAAATTTGTATACAGTGTGCTTCACTAAAAGAAGATCATGTTTCCGCACACTGTTGTGATAGCTTTAATAATTATATATACAGTTTAATTTTGTGTGCAAGAGTTTCAGCAATAAACTGCGATATGATCCAAAATGACTAAATTTATCGATAAACTTTGTAAGGCGTTTGCTAATAGAATCAATGCGTCATGTTCAACGATATATGAGTCTGCCAGTATTCTTTATAATTCTTATGCAGTCATATCACTGGATCTGCTAACAAAAAAACATAAGCATGATGCGCAATTTCAATCTGTTACAATATGCTAATCAAATCACTAATATATGTATACAATAACTTTATTGTCTGGCATTCTACATAATTATATGAAAATGAAATTCAAGCTAAATGTGTTCTCTCATTAAAATTTCTGAAAATAATGTACTTAAAAAAGAAGTAAAAAAGAATATACTATCTTTTAAATAATATTGGATACTTTCCATTTAATGATACAAGTCGACACAAGCGTTGTTCTATCTTTGTGTCAACTCTCTGAATGTCAACAAGGATAGAACGACGCTTGTGTCGACTTGTGTCATCAAATGGAAAGCACTCATTGGTATTTTTTATATAATTTTTTTCTACGGCACGAAATGGAAATAGGATCTGTATTGTACATCTCATTTAATGTGTTATTCATGCGTTAATAAATGTTGCAATCACTATTTTTTCACACCACTTATAATAGTGACGATGACGGCACACTTGCATTATTGTATATATAAAATTGTACATAAAGCGTGTATTAGTCATAATTATTATAGATGAGATTCATATTGAAAGGACTGTCCGTTTTTACGTTTATATTTTAGGTAAAACGATAAGTAAATCTCGAAAAAAAGCGAATAAACAAATTGACAGAATCTCTCTGTTGTATATCTTTTTTCCCCGAAACAATCTCATTAACTAGAGTATACAAATAAACTCATGTTTTCGTAGCTGAGTTTCTTGAAAGATTTTGTTAAGGAAGTTTCGCCTTTGTTCCTTTTTTCTCCAATTGTCTCAAGTGTAGAAAGAACAGATCTTAAGTTTATTTGTAGTTAAGTTTATACATATTTTTTTCTTTCTACTCAACTTCTAATTATATATTTATTTTATAAGAAATATAATAATACGTCTATAAAGATTAGACCTATAATCACATGTTTTTTTTTTGCATGAATATTCTACATTATAATTTATACAGATGTCTTTATTATCTAACACTTGTGTGATGTATATCTCATATACCGGCTTTCGTAACCTATAAAATCGCTCGTTAAGTATTGTGCAAAGATTGAATTAACTTAAACGACTCTGCTTGATCTACGGATCTATTTAACAATTTGGCACTTTGATCTTCATCAGAGAAGTCGGAAAGCCAATCAAGAGATACTGGAGAAGAAGAATCGTCTAAACTGGATATTAACATTTAGGTATTCATCAAGATTTCATAATGCAATAGTTCTTGTCATATTTTTCAACTTTCAATGCGTAACATCTTCAAATTTTTATTCTAGGCATTTGGTTTAGTTTCAATATGTCGAGAAGGATGTGCTACAGGAACTGCCTCAGAAAATATTTGATACAACGGAAATATACAGATTCTCATCGGACACGAGCATATCGCGAGATTCATAAAACGATCCCTATGTCGCATGCATCAGCAATTGCAGATACAATTGAACGAGCTGCTGTAGATAAAAAACCAAGGAGGAGTATCAGAGATGGACTCTCCTTGAAGGATTTTTTGAGCCCATCTGTTATTGATATTCCCAGCGAAAAACCTGTTCCGTATGTGCAGAATATCCGTGGCGAGAATCAAAAAGGTTTCTCAAACAACTATCTAACTATGTTTTATATCATTTGACTTTGTGCTTCATTTTTATTTTCTTTGTTCGTGCTAGTATACTTTGAAATTTTCGGTTGCCAAATGAACGTCAATGATGCTGATATAGTATGGTCGATATTGAAATCACATGGGTACAAGCATACGGAATGTCTGGACGATGCAGATATTGTATTATTGGTCACTTGTTCTATCAGAGACAATGCCGAGCAGAAAGTATGGCATAAGTTGGAGAACTTAAACGGAGTGAGAAACAAGAAAAAGAGGACCACTAAGTTGCCTATGAAGATTGGTCTTTTAGGCAAGCTTAACTAATATTTGATAATATCAAGAAACTCGCATTTAAGTTCTTGATTTATATAAGAATAAATATTTGCATTAGGATGTATGGCGGAACGTCTAAAGACTAAAATATTAGATAGAGGAAAGCTAGTAGATGTAATAGCGGGTCCTGATAGTTATAAGGATTTGCCAAGACTTCTGGCGGTAACAGATGATGAAACAGCTATTAATGTCTTATTATCATTTGATGAAACATACGCAGATGTCACGCCAGTTAGACTCAATCAGGATTCCACTGAGGCATATGTGTATATATACATATTTTTAAAAAGTATATAAACTTTTACCTTTTATTTTATATCTATAATTTGCAGTTCTATAATGAGAGGTTGTGATAATATGTGCACCTACTGTATTGTGCCATTTACAAGAGGAAGAGAAAGATCACGACCAATTGCAAGTATACTTGACGAAGTCCGGCAATTATCAGATCAAGGTGTAAAGGAAATAACTCTGCTGGGGCAAAATGTAAATAGCTACAGAGACTTATCGAAATCAGAGTTTATTTTATCACCTAATATGGAGACTCAGCTCGCTAAAGGTTTCAAAACGGTTTATAAGAATAAGAAAGGTGGTTTAAGGTTTAGCGATCTTCTGGACAAAGTCTCTTTGATTAATCCGGAAATAAGAATAAGGTATAAATTTATTAAGCGGCATTAATTTTCACGGTTTTTACATATTAATATATAGTAATCTCATTGATTTACAGATTCACATCGCCTCATCCCAAAGATTTTCCTGATGAAGTATTACACTTGATAGCTGAAAGACCAAACATTTGTAAACAGATTCACTTGCCTGCACAAAGCGGCAACTCTGTAATTTTGGAAAGAATGCGAAGAGGATATACCAGGGAAGCATATTTAGATTTAGTGTATCATATACGTAATATTCTCCCAGACGTGTACATTTCTAGCGATTTTATTGCTGGATTCTGCAGCGAGACTGAGGAGCAGTTTCAAGATACGTTGTCGCTAATAGAAGAAGTTAAATACAATAACGCATTTTTATTCGCCTATAGCATGCGTGAGGTATAATTTTTATATTATATAATTGTTTTAGATAATTGATATCAAAATGATTTAAAGTTTATAATTTATTTCGTAATTACATATATTATAAATATTTTAATGTTCTTCAGAAAACTACGGCACACAGACGATACAAGGACGACGTTGAAACGCATACAAAGACAGAGCGTATGAACCGTATGATCGCATTATATAGAAAAGAAGTGGAAAAATTGAATAAAGCACAGATAGGGCAGCATCAACTTGTTCTCGTGGAGAGAGTAAATATTTTGCCAATTTTATTATTATATACATACTGCAACAAAAAGTAGCACCTCTTTCTGTGTAGCACCTTTTTCTTTCTCCTTTCATCATAATTTGTATCCTTCCGTAAACGCTTTAATCTTATGCTTTACAGAAAAGTATATTATATTTTTATTAATATATTTAAGTATGCAAATATTTTTTTTTAGTGATACATCATATATATTTAGATATATATTTAGAAGAGTAATAGATTTTATAGTGAATATGTTTTCTATTAACAGACGAGCAAGAGATCTGATCAACAATTACAAGGTAGAAACGATGGTAATGTAAGAGTTATTCTACCATCTACAGCTATTCCAATTGCTCAACATTCTACTACGACAAGGGAGATACAGGCTGGTGATTATGTCGTTGTACAAATTGACAATGCCAACTCTCATTCTTTACAAGGAGTACCTTTATATCATTCTTCAATCATTGAACATTCATTAAACAAATAACAATTGTTATATTATTATTGTATAAATTAATAATAATTATAAATATCCATAAACTAATTCTCTTTTATTATAAAACATTCCCTCTTAGGTATAATTATTAAATTTGAATTTTATCTTTAAAGAGAAGATACATAACTATTATTATTTATCGTTAGACTAATTTTTTTCTCATCAGATATTTAAATTATATTACAAATTCTGATCTTTTGGTTAAATTATTCAAATTAACTCCAGTTGTTTTATCTTCAGTCGATAATACAGAATTTATCATTATGGCTGAAAAATTTTAGTGGGCGCAAGTGAGCGTAAATGTATAGCATCATGAAATACAAGATCGGCATTCGGCAATCAAACTCAGGTTATGAGTTGTGAATGGTTGTAAATTAAAAATTTACGCATGATATATTAATTATCGATGTTATGATCGTGTTGTGATCGAACGATTATAAATTGAATCTTGCGGAATTCCACTCGGCGATCTCTAAAGAAATGGCATGTAAATCGAGTGTTACAATCTATAAGTATCATAACTGGTAACCAACCTCTTAACTTGAAACATTATAGAGATTATGTTCAAAAATTTATTTGTCCGCTTTGAATAATCCTTTAATATAGTGATACGCGGCAACAACGAATAACAATAATCATTAGTGTGATACTAAATAATAATAATAGTAATAATAATATTTATGTATATTAGAATATGCCGGCTCGCAGCAATACTTCTCGTTTCATTTCTTTTTGATAAATTCTGTTCGAAATAAAAGGAAAGGAAGGAATACAAGAAGTGCAACTACGAGCCGGATGTAGCATTGATAAGAGACATTAGCTGCGTTCAGGTCAATCAAGTTACTTTTTGCCAAAAGTGAAAACTGAAAAGTTAACATTTTTTGTATATATATATGTATTAAAGACATAGAGCATCCAGTAACTAAGGAATATATTAAAACATTCCAGTAATATCGCACCAATATTGTTGCAATTTTGCTGGAATCTTGCTGGAATCTTTCAGAATACTTTTTGCTTATTTGACATGAACTGCATCATCCATGTATAAGATTGATCAACAAAAATGAAAAAACACAAAAACAGATAATCTCTATCTCTTTCTACACATACAACTAATCACAATATCTTAGAAAAAGAGAGAAATTGGCTGAATGTCTTCATGTTCTTTCTCTCACTTTTGTTAACCACATATATTGATACATTATTTAAATATTATATAGTCCATACTTTATAAGCCTATTCTTTTTTCATACTCTAGGACTGAATTTCTTACATAATTTATCTTCTCTTTTTTTTCATTGGAGAAAAAAGATAAAAAAACCATGCAAGAAGTTTAAACCTGAGATATGGCCTTATATCTTTGATATATACATACATATATTTCTCATATGTGTGTATATGTATATATATGCATAAATAATATTTTTCACTTTTTATGTCCTAGAGAAAGAGTTACATAGTTGATCCCCAACAGAGGAAGCGGCTTTGCAGCTATGTAAAACTTCAATATAATCTATCCTTGTTTTTTATTTCTTATGGGGCTAAAATAAAATGGTATAAATCAATCATATTGAAGTATATAATCATATTTACAAAGCTGTTTCCTCTGCTGAACATAGCCATTGTTACGCTTTTCAAAATTGCTGACCATCTGACTGACAATATAAACATTACTAGGCTTCAAATGATGGTATCCCACCACCTGCTGCTGTAACAGGATTTCCATCGGCGACGCCAAATATTGCATCTAGCTTTGTGCCACCTATTATGCCTGCGGCACCGTTTATTCCCCCTCCCAGTTTACCGCCAGGTCCTCCAGGTATAATGCCACCTCAGTTTTCCATACCTCCGCCAGGTTTTACTTTTCCTATCACCGCGGCACCTCCTCAAGAAGCTGGAGTCATAGGTTAATATCCATTGCTAAATATCCATGTTAGTCTACGAATCCCGTTGCTCAAATAGCTCCCTTTATATTATAGCTGCATCACCGCAAATAACAGCATCAGGAATTCCTCCTCCTTCACCTATCAACAGCGATGCCAATGCATCAACAATGTCTGCTTCCACAACAGAGAAGAAGACAGACTGGAGTGAGCACAAGGCACCTGATGGCAGAACATATTACTATAACAGCGTAACAAAGCAGTCGTTATGGGAAAAGCCGGATGAATTGAAAACTCCAAGCGAATTGTTGTTGTCACAATGTCCTTGGAAAGAATACAAGTCAGAAAATGGCAAGGTGTATTATCACAATGTAAATACTAAGGAGTCCAGATGGACAATACCGCCAGAGTTGGAAGAGCTGAAGACGCGAATTATAGCCGAGGAAGCTGCGGCGACTGCTGCAGCGGTCGTGGCAAATGCCACGAATTCGTGAGTAAAAAAATAATATATAAATTGTAGATTGTCTTTCACTATTTTAGAAATTTTTTTATATATTCATCATGATCTTCCTTTTTAGCAACATGGCTCCTGTAGCAATGCAACACTTGTCACCGAATGTCCCGACTATATCGCAAACCAGTACGCCGGAATCAGGAGGGAAGTCGGCTATCGAGCAGGCGATGGCTGCGACCCTCGCAGCAATTAATATTCCGACGCCTCCCACGAAACCGGACGAAGATAGTAATTCCGCGATGGGTTCGACCAATGACAGCCGCACCAGTACACCCGAGCCCAAAATGCAATTCAAGGATAAGAAGGAAGCTATCGAGGCGTTCAAAGAATTATTGAGGGAGAGGGATGTTCCATCGAATGCCACATGGGAACAGGCAGTCAAATTGATTCAGAACGATCCTAGATATCCGCAGATGAAGAAATTAAATGAACGCAAGCAAGCCTTCCATTCGTACAAGACGCAGAAACTGAAGGAAGAGCGCGAGCAAGAAAGACTCAGGTAGATATGATTACTTATTATGTTACAGTAATGGAGAGAGGGGGGAAGGATCATATCAGTCTCTATATGTCGTGAGTTAAAGTTATTCAGATCTAAAGAACTCCTCTGTAATTCTTGCTAAGTCAGAATGCATTACGAAATTTTTTCTGTTTATATTATATATGGGATTTGAACTGCGATCAGTCGGTTAGACAAATATAGAGAGAGTATATTCCTCGCTCTTACATGGAACTACATAATGTCCCACTTATTTTGTCGTTTATATACAATTTAATTGGATAATAATATAACGTATTTTTGACAGACTGAAGAAGGCCAAGGAAGACTTAGAACAATTCCTATTAGAAAACGATAGAATGGTAAGCACGACTAAGTATTACAAATGCGAAGAGATGTTTGGTAATTTAGAGGTTTGGAGGGCGGTTGGGGATTCGGATCGCCGGGATATCTATGAGGATGTTATCTTCAATTTGGCGAAACGCGAGAAAGAAGAGGCGAAACAATTGAAGAAGAGAAATACCAAAAGATTGGCGCAAGTTTTGGACACTATGACGGACGTGACGTACAGGACTACATGGCAGGAGGCGCAGGCATTGTTGCTGCAGTATCCTGCATTCGCGGAAGACGCAGATTTGTTGGAGATGGACAAAGAGGACGCCCTAATTGTATTCGAAAACCATATCCGCCAATTAGAGAAGGATGAGGAAGAAGAAAAAGAATGCGAAAAGAAACGTAGAAAACGGCAAGAGAGGAAAAACAGAGATGGTTTCATAGTGAGTGTTACAAGTGTTCTCAGTTTTATTGTTAATTGTTATAACTATAATTATGTTTCGGGACAGGGATGAGAAAATTGTAACGCCATTATCTAATCATTACTATGAAAAATGTAACGGTATTATTATAAGTAACGCGTTATTCCCATTCCTATATATTTCAGTATTTATGTTAATAAGATCAAAATCGATTTTTTATATAATAAAAAATTATGTGTTTCAGTATTTACTCGATGAACTTCATGAACAAGGCAAACTCACATCGATGTCGCTATGGGTAGAATTATACCCTATGTTATCTGCCGATCTTCGATTTTCGGCTATGCTTGGACAATCAGGCTCAAGTCCGCTGGATCTTTTCAAATTCTATGTTGAAGACTTAAAGTCTCGATTCCATGATGAAAAGAAGATCATTCGCGAGATACTCAAAGACAAAAATTTCGAGGTGCAAGTGAATACAACTTTCGAAGAATTCGCTACGGTCGTATGCGAAGATCGAAAGTCCGCAACTCTAGATGCAGGTAACGTTAAATTAACGTATAATTTATTGTTGGAGAAAGCAGAGGCACGTGAGAAGGAACGTGTCAAGGAAGAAACGCGGAAATTTAAGAAACTGGAGACTGGTTTCAAGAATTTGCTGAAGACTTTGAACGTAGACTATCAAATGGCATGGGAGGACGTGAGGTCGAAAATCGAAGAAGAACAAGATTTCAAGGCGATCACCTTGGAGAGCGAAAGAATACGAATATTCAAGGAATATCAGCATGAGCTTGAAGAAAGTTGCAGTCATCATCATATCAGAAGTAAGAAGAAAAAGGCGAAAAAATTGAAGCGCAAATCACGATCGCGTTCGCACAGTGTGAGTGTTATAGAAAATAGTCATTTCCTCATCATTTCTGACCGTGAAGTGCAAAATTGATTTTTTTTTTCTTGGCAGGAATCGGAAGGTAGCGAGAAAGGCTTGAGAAGAAAGCGACACAAGTCACATTCACCCAGTATTCCTAGCAAGTCTGATAGTTCCGAATCGGAAACGAGGAAATCCAAGAGGAAGAAGAACAAGAAGAAGAGAGGCCGCAGTCATTCCGTATGTATTGATAATATTATTAGGTGTTGGAATTAATTCGTAGCGTTTTTTAATGAAAGAATGTTATTTATTTCACATGAGCATTAAAAAATACATTAATGAAAGTACTTCCCATCACTTGTAAAACGCTACGAATTAATTCCAACACCTAATAAGATTCCTCAAAGAAAGTTTTATCACATTTATCCTGATATTTTTTCATAGCGCTCGCACTCCGGTCTTCCATCCTCTGAGGAATCCCCGGAAAGGAAACGGAAGGAGGAGAAGCACAGAAGACCTTCTATTCATAGTGAAGGTTCTGTTACGGAAAATAACGAACACCACGAACTCTCCGAGGACGAGCTGGAAAAGCAAAGAGCACAACTTCTACGCGAGCTCCAAATGCAACAAGAGGAGAATTGACGACTTCGCAAAGTGCATTTCACAAATGGGTTTTCAAAAATCTGAAATAATTATTTATTCTCTCTTTGATGACAACTATTTCAGAAGATGTGAGGTCTTGTTATTTGGACATCTTTATTATTTCAAGAACTGAGGATGTATTAAAAGAAACGAATAATGAGTTAAATATCAACATGCTCGGTTTCAAAAAAAGATTGTAATTTTAAAATATGCATCTATATACGCGTGCAAATATTCACATACAGTAAACAACGACGACGTTTTGATTAAAAATGGATCACCTTACATAACGCATTCTAGCCTTCTATTGTATAGGTGAGCTTTTTTTAAGGGTGTATGACTCGTCTTTTTTTTCTTGTTCTTTTCAATGACTTGTTCGCACTATTCTTTGTGATTAAAAGTAATGATGCGTGACGAATGCGGAGTATATGCAACTCGAAATCTTCGTGACAAGCATTACTGGAATACAATAGTGTTTGATTCTCTTGTCGGCGTTATCAATTACTTTAACATGTAAATCAAATCTTTTCTAGTACTATTTTTATTTGTGCTACAGTCGGATCAATCATAAGAAAAATCGCTGCAATCATTAAGATCGAAATCGCTTGTAGTATAGACATTCTGATAAGAGAAAATTAGTAATTTGCATTTGAAATGTGTGCATTAGTAATGCGCACCTAAAATAATTGACTGTATTATATTTTAGTATGATAATTATATAATATTTACTATTCTTTTTTTCTGTTTCATTTTTATTTTGTCGCACGCTTTCTCTGACTGTTTACTCTTGAAAATCGGGAAGTTAGAACTGCATTTAATCTCCTTAATGTTTCTTTAGTTTTGACATTGAAGTTTTACATGCAACTGAAGAGTCTTGAATTCTTGAATGTATGTTAGACTGGTACAAAGATCTCTTGTCTACGTTATAATCACTTGTCCACACGCCGACACATTTGGCATTTAAACACGGTTGTTTGCAACGATGTACGTGCGAGTCGGTAGGTATTATTAACAATTCAACACCAGGCAGTCTGACGCTCTTGACGAGTTCAACGACGGAAGCTTCCTGAAAGTATAAGAGGAAAAAAAGAAGATAATTTGTATCGAAAATTGACGTAAATTGTATTCATTTCGCAAATTGAATCACTATTTAAGATAAGAGATTGGCTTTCAGTTTCCTCGGAATTAAATTTTCGTCTGGTCTTCCCTTATTTCACTCATCCTGTACGATATAAACGCGTTGCATTGAAGGAATACTTGTATTATACGGTCTGATCGACCGTCATTGATTTTGATTAGAATCAATCTAATGGGTGAGAAGTGGTTCATGCGGTACGCGCAACGAGCTCAAGGAACGAACAATGTGAATAAAGAACAAAGACAATATTGTTAGTTTTAATTACTACTTATTTCTTTCTTTCTTCTTCGTTTCTTCTTTTGTAGCTGAAAACACTTAGAACCAAGTCAATTCATCATGATGAGAATATTTCAGTCATGCACTAAATTGAAAAATTTCGTTCTTTTAAAAACATGATATCGAGAAATGGGTTTTATTTTATAATTTAAAGAAAAAAAAATTATATATACTAGAAATGTACTAAATTTTAATAAATCATTTGTTTAACTTGTATTAACTAAATGTTTATTAAATATAAGAATATATTTATTTACAAAAACAATTTAATTATAACTTTTTGTATGGAGTAATATTTATTTACTTTAAGTAACTATTTATTTAGTACTATTCAAATATAAATTTTGATAAAATTTAGTATATTTTTTTTTCAAGAGCAATTTATCGGTAGTATAAGTTGTACATAAGTAATACACCGAGTTAATATTTGCATCAAGTCAAATAATTATCCTATTAGAAACGATGTGTGTATAATTAGCAAATACGAGAGATACGAATGAAGGACAAGCAAAAGGAGCAAAAGTAATTAACAATAAAAATTAAATAAAAAATTTTTGAAGATCTAAAGATTTACGATTTATCTTTTTATTTTTCAATATTTAAACCTAAAAGAAATTATGCAATAATTTTCACAGATCTCGTCGGTGATAAATCGATGATCAGATATAATATATAGCAGATTAACATTAGTGAATAATAATAATATATAATAGCAATAAATAATCGGGGATTAATATTTATTAATGAACGATGAATCAGGATTCATTCCTCGCTTGGTTTCTCGCGTGTTAAAAAAATTTGACGGGGTTCTAATTCATCGTGAAAATTTAATTTGGAACTTGAACATCGCTGTCGGTGACTCGTCGCTGTCGTCCTTTCTCCTCACCCTCCCACCGTTTCGGCTGGTCGTACGGCCCTGGGCGCTCTCGTGAGAGGTGGGGAACCCGTCATCTCCGATTCCGACGTAGCGTGGTTTGTCCGACGGCAAGGTGTTCGCATCAACGGGCCGTGTGTTCTGTCGCAGTTTCGGCAATTCGGCGTACTGGGCGCGCAAAGAAAAAGGTGATCCGAACATCCAACGAGAGCTATCAATCGAGAAGGGCACCTTGTTCACCCTTCGAATCATCGACGTCGTCGTGTGTGACGAAGGGCGCACGCCGACGTCCCTCTCTTTCTTTCTCCCTCTCTGTCTGTCTCCTTTCGTGTAATATACCTGTCCCCGTCTCCGCCGGAAGATGTTGGGCCTGATTTGCCGTCAGACATTGTTGACGAATACCCAAAAGTGAGTAGACTTCGTACCAGTGCTGTCCTTAAACGTATTCCGTTCACTGTCCGGGCGACGATGTTGATCGTACTGCAAATCGCAAAATAACACGCGTCCTTCTGGGATAACCCAACCGCTTCCTTTTGAACGAAAGGAAGTTCATCGATCGTTCGCGAGCGACGTAGGTATAGTTTGTCAATAGTCTTGTCGAATTGGACCTGATAATATCTACAGATGTCAATGTGTACGTATAATGCAACGACTTCGAGACAGCATAAAAATGTGCTGAAACTCGTTACGTCGCTCGTTTGGTTCGTAAAATATGGTGCAACATAATTTTAGAGACAATATCTGCGATAAAGTATATGCCCTATCAGTATGAATAAAATTGTTATGTGGTTCTTTGTGTTATTTGAATATGGAAAATCTGAGAAATTAAGGATAAAAATTCGTTCCAAGTTTTCGTACTACGGCGCTTTTTGGATTAAAGTCAATTAAATTACTGGAAATCACGAGTTTAGTTGAAGCCACGTTTTTGATCGTTTTGTCAATATAAATTAACTTTAATCTCGATTTAACTTATTTTTTATTTTTTTTCTAATTCTAAGAATTAAAAACAAATAAAGAGTAAATTAAATTGGTAGATCCAATGTAGGTATATTTAAAGATTCATCTGCATTGACAGATAAAATCTTTTGGATATAAGAATCGCTTACTGATCATTTGTTTTTTCTATTTTAGATCTGATTCCATTATTATTATTATAAGATTAATTTTAATTTCAATTCAATTCATTTCTTCGTCTTTTTCTAATTTTAAGAATTAGAATTCTAAGAATTATATAGAAAAAGATGAAGAATTAGTTGAACGAAATTAAAATTAATCTACATTGATAGAAACGAGCTTACTAAGCAAAATGTTGGCGATAGGCTAATAATTTGCCAAAAGATTTCAAGAAGAACGTCACGGCAGTTTGACGTCAACTACGTTCAAAGGATTGCCAGCAAAAACCGACCATGATTTGTCATTTCCTAATCCATTATTTAAACGACACATTTCACCTAATTTTTCAACAGATTCTATTATATTTTCACTAGAATACTGTCGATAAAATCTGTAAAATATTCTACTCTCAGATTTCGTCATCCGGATCTAGAGATACAAGTCGACACAAACGATTATCTTTCTTAGAATACGTTTCTATCTTTCTTGAAATTCCATGAGTAATAAAGATAGAACAATATCTGTGTCGACTTATGGAAAACAATATACTTATAAAAATTCTTAATAGAGAAAGAAGAAAAGCAGAAATAAGATTGGTCTATTTTGTTCGTTCTTTTCGTATTTGTTCAATTAACTAAATACAATTAGTTGTTTGCACATTTGATTAATTCAACAAATGTTATTTAATCGAATTCAATCGTAGCCTAACAAATTGTTTAATGTTACCAAATCTGCAAACTAAATGTATTTAGTTGAACAAATTTTTTTTTTAGTGTACTATCTAGAGTAAGCTGTCTCTTTGTTCTCCTTTTCTTCTGTAAAGAATTAACGGAGTCTCGACCGATATTTGAATTCGGAATTCTAAATTTTCTTTTATTTATAATTTGTTTATTATTCTAATTTTTATTTTTTTATTGTTATCTTTTTCTTCATTTTTATTTTGTAAGTATTATTATTTTGTTGTATTTTCATTTCCTTTTTATTTGATTTTTTTATATTCTTAAAGGGTCTTAGAATATTAATTAATAAACACTTTTTCATCTATATCTTTTTACCTAATTTCGCGTTTAACAATAAGTTCACGACTATTACACTACTATAATATTCCGTCTCGTTTTAACGGGTTTTTACTAAATTTTTATACTTACAATTCGAATAAGACCTATTTCTACCAATGTAGATCAACTTTAATCTCAAGTTAATTCTTTATTTTTTTCTAATATACATTTCTTTCAAATAAATCAAGATTAACTTTAATCTCGATTTAATTTATCTTTATCCTTTATAATTCTTATAACTAGAAAAAGATAAAAAGTAAATTAAATCAAGATTAAAGTTAATCCACATTGGAGAAATGGATATAAGAGAAAATTCGATACAACAAAATCGGTACTCTAAACCTGGCGCTTTACAAACTTCTTTTTTTTTTATAGTTATTTTACGTTTTTAGAGACGTTTTTTCGACTGTTCAGCAAAAACAGATCATTTGTCAAACGTAAGAGTTCCGATAACTGACACCATGGTCACTCGGCACTGACTATTAACAGCTATTTTATCTCTCTACACATATGTAATCTTAAGGATATTCAAATATTTTTCGGTGTAATTCACCAACATTGTTTCGCGAGTCAGATGACTTTAACAGTCACGCGACCATCATTAATTATGACGCTCGCGATAGCATTGATTGGTACACATCAGCTTCTGGCCTTTCCATTTAAAAAAACAGAGAAGGGATAATAATACACTTACGGTTTTAATGCATAAGAATACACTTACGGATTTTCAAGATTTCTCTTGGCGTTTATCCGCTCGCACCGATTCACAATTCTTTATTAAATCCTCAATTATTTGAAGATATAATGGCCACTTTTCTTCTTCGACATAGCGAAGTCCACTTTACTTCAAAGAGGATAGAATTAGATGTACACTTAAGTATCCTTATTGCGGATAAAAGCACATAAATATCTTCGATTGCGAATAATATCTTTTTCAGATGTTAATATTCACTCGCAAATTTTCCATTTTATGTATTGATATAATGTTTATGATTTCTGAAAGTAATTAACAATCAAAATAATTTACGATCTAAAAAAATATTAGATTTTCGACTATTTGGAATGGTATAAATATACTATAAAAGTGACATTTTTTGACGTAAGTTATAGTAAACTAATTTGTCATAATTATCGCAAATCGATAACACTGCGCTAATTAAGGTTAAACAAACATATAAATTATCATCATAAACATTCTTTTTCCGTATATTCACACGAATGTGTGTAGTTGTTCTTTTATTGTGCTATATTATATAATTTAATAATACTTATTGATCCATATATAATTAATAATTATTATTCACTAATTGACAGCGCACGATACGATGCATTAAAAAAGATACATGCACCATTCTTTTCTTTGCATTCACATGCAAAAAAACAATTTTTGCTACCGATCATAGTATTGTTTACGGGACATTGATATGTATTAGGTGTTGGAATTAATTCGTAGCGTTTTACAAGTGATGGGAAGTACTTTCATTAATGTATTTTTTAATGCTCATGTGAAATAAATAACATTCTTTCATTAAAAACGCTACGAATTAATTCCAACACCTAATAAATAAGAGGTTCGTTTCAAAATACTAGTGCATATTTAACAAGAGTGATAAGACTATTAACTCAAGACTTTATCACAAGTAGTCGAATAAATATTTGAAGATCGTATCGACAAGATTCTTAAGAGACTCTTCAGATTTTATTTGTCGGCACTATCTATTCAAGTGTGGGCCTTTTCGTATCTTAACGCATTGTTTATTATTCGATAGAGTCAGCACCAGATGCTTGGGATCGATAGTTCCGGTGTCGCATCCGCCAGATTTTCCGCTGGAGAATGAGCCGATTCTTAGTTACAAGAAGGGCAGTCCAGAAAGAGCGGAGCTGGAGAAAGTCTTGGATAAGATGAGCAACGAATGCGAGGAAGTGCCATTAGTCATCGGAGACGAGGAGATTAAGACCGATTTATGCAAACATCAAGTCATGGTATGTTTCTATCTTAATCGCGCTTACTCTCTTACAGATAATATTTATGTTGCATAATATATTTAAAAGACATCTTTTAGTTTATCTTATGTAATATGCATGCGATGTTATCTGGGTATTCATGAAGAGCAGAACTCTTTGCGTGATTTGTAGACTATCCTTGTTAGATCATAGATAATCACGAATTTTCCAGCCGCATAATCACAAGGAAGTAGTCGCTAAGTATTACTGGGCGACGCCGGAGCTCGTGAAGAAGGCGATCAACGTCGCGGTGAAGGCGCAGCGAGAATGGGAGAAATGGCCAATCGAGAAGCGGTTAGAGATGTGGTTGAGGATAGCAGATTTGATGGCGACCAAGTACAGGCAACATCTTAACGCTTCCACCATGATCGGTCAGAGTAAAACCGTGATCCAAGCAGAGATCGACAGCGCGGCGGAGCTGATCGACTTTTTCAAAATGCATGCGTATTTCGTAAAGGAGAGCCTCAAGTACCAGCCAATTTCACCAACTCAGCAGATCCTCAACTCGATGAGGTATCGCGGTATGGACGGTTTCGTAGCGGCTGTGTCGCCCTTCAACTTCACCGCAATTGGCGGTAATCTCAGCTATACGCCGGCACTGATGGTTTGTAATTTGCAAACCATACTGACAGCGCTTTAATCGAGGCTAGCGTCACGATCAAAGCAACGCGCTAATAATAATACGCACGTGTCGACGTGCATGCCGCGATTGCAGGGTAACGCCGTACTCTGGAAGCCATCCGACACCGCGTTATTATCCAACTGGTGGATCTTTAAGATATGCAGAGAGGCCGGGGTGCCGCCCGGCGTGGTGAATTTTGTTCCTTGCGAAGGACCTGTGTTCGGCGATACCATCACGTCCTCGCCTCATCTCTCCGGACTCAACTTCACTGGCTCGGTGCCGACATTTAATCGTCTATGGGCCCAGATTGGTCAAAATCTTTCCAAATACAGGAACTACCCGAAATTAGTCGGTGAGTGTGGCGGCAAGAATTATCACTTTATCCACTCGAGTGCTGATGTGGAATCGGTTGTTTACGCGACGATAAGAAGCGCATTCGAATTCAATGGACAGAAGTGTTCCGCTTGCAGTAGAATGTATGTACCAGAATCTCTATGGGGCAAGGTGAGTCTAATAATAACCGCTTTGTTAAAGCCTTTGGGAGTGCACATCCATGTGATCTTGAACTTTTGTTCCAGATAAAAGATGGCCTCTTAGCTCTTCGTCAGGAACTCACAATCGGTGATATTCGAGACTTCACTGTATTCACTGGCGCTGTTATAGACGCCGTAGCGTTCAAACGAATTTCCGGTTACATCGAGTACGCGAAGAAATCGCCCAATTTGAAAATTCTTGGCGGTGGAGGCTGCGATGATTCGTATGTTCTGTTACAATTATTATTAACGTAATAATTATCTTAATGTATATATCATATCGAGATAAAAGTGTCTTTTCAGGTGCGGATATTTTATCGAACCGACAATAGTACAATCCAAAGATCCGAAAGAAAAACTCATGACAGAGGAAATATTCGGTCCAGTGTTAACGATATACGTTTACAAAGATTCCGAACTGAACGAGACGGTAAAACTGGTAGAAACATCTACACCTTACGCCTTAACAGGCGCGATATTCGCACAAGATGAGTAAGTAAAATTAGTCAATTGTCCAAGTTACGTTGTACGTGACGAGTGTAAAAGAATTTAATCAAAAATATTACACAATATAGCTTCTACATTAAATCGCATGTTAAATTCTCTAAAGTTGTATCTGTATATTATAAGATTGACAGAATAAGATTGTAGTATAATAATATAATATTTTTTTTATATTGAACTCTAATCAATTTTCAAAATTTTTATGCTGGTTCAACGACACTATAATGATACATTGTAGTAAAATGAATTGTAGTCTCATACATATGTATATTTTACAGAAAATGGGCGAAGCAGGCACTTGAAGATTTTAAATATACTGCCGGTAATTTTTATGTCAACGACAAATCGACCGGTTCAGTGGTCGGTCAACAACCATTCGGTGGCAGTCGAATGTCCGGTACAAATGACAAAGCCGGCGGTCCTCACTATGCTCTTCGCTGGGCGTCCCCGCAGTCTATTAAGGAGACCTTCGAGCCCATACGAGAATACGACTATCCATACATGAGATGCTAAACATCGGACTCGCTTGTTGTTAATTCGGTGTGATTAATCTGATAATATATTGCCCGATAGTTGCACGTTGCAAACCGAGAAACGCTCATATTTTTATCTAATCTGGAAATAAACAAACCGGGGCAATATATGATGGTATTATTACTCTTCTGCTTTAATTCAATGAATAAGAAAACAAACAAGAAGGAAAAAACATTCAGTTCACCATTCAAATGAGGTATCATACAGAAATATATAAGAGATTAATGGATTTACAAAAATGTTTTAAGCTCTGACATATGATTTAGAAATATGATTAATGAATAATGACATATGATTTTCCGTTTGCAACGGAAAAAAGCTCAAAATTTTGATTATAAGAGCGGATACGATGATATAAAGCGTGCGGAGATACCTTTTCTAAGGTAAAATCTCATTTGAGTAAGATTCTTGTCCTACGGTATGGTATTCTTAATTTGCTTCCTGATAATTAGATAAAATTATTTAGTGAGAATATAATTAGATGGAAACAAAAGGTATTCATATACCGTGTGACAAGATTATAATATCGAATTAATTCAACGTGCAGAAATTGACAAAACGATTTCGCGTAAGAGGACTTTCTCTCAATAGGGAGCACAGTAAACTTGTGCAATTTTTGCGATGCACAATAGAGACACGACTAGATTCCTAGATGAATTAAATGCTAAAGGGAGGAAATCAGGCTCGCAGGTCACAGCAAGTGCACACATAACTCGGCTTCGAATGTTCCGTTGACATCACCTCGTGATGAATATGGAATTCCAGTGCGGCGATTCTCCCGTGATCGATTCTGTTAGCTGCGGACGTCGCTTTGTAAGCCGCTAAACATGCTATCTCGATTACTCGCCGCCAATATATTACCAAAGTATTATCCGATGTGCATTTCGGAGACGTGTGATCTCATCACCGTGTGCCCGATGTATCCTCTCCCCTCTCAGTACAATAATACTTTTATAATTCGAGAGTTATCGCATCAGATCGATTGAGGAGGAAACGCGAGCAAAACGATGCGTTTATTTATGATACGTGATTACAGTAACTAAAAGAAGTATATCTTTAATCTCATCGAATTATATCCGGGATAACGTATTCACTGCGCTATTGTCACCTGTCCTCAATGTCGACTGAGTAGAGCAAATATTGTTAATGTGATCAATAAAGCTTCGATTTGAACCCCGTTTTTAGATGCGATATTACCTACATTGTAAATGATGGATTTCTTTTTTTACTGCTAGGGAGATTGTCATGGGTAACGCAATTTCAGTTCCTTTCTAATGATGTATACTTTGTAAGATTGTATATGCGGAAGATGTGTCACGTGATCCCTCTGTAATAGCTGAAGTAAGTACTCTTAACATTTACATACAACATGTATACGTACACATGTGTGTGCGTGTGTATGTATGTATTCCCAGATCTTTGATCATCGTTTGTCTTATAATATTGTTGATAATGTAACTGAGGCGGGATGTTTTGAGAGTTGATAGGTGATCGCCAAGAACATAATAATTGACAATATGTTATATATTGTGGCAAGTGTTACACCGTTATTTAAGTGTACGATAGCAATAAAGCAACATAAATCTATATAGTCTTCATATCGTTTTGTACTTTAATTGTCATTATAAGACGCGCTACTTTTTGAAATATCGGATATGACGTCAAGCGTCTGCCTGAAGCAATTGAGAGTTTCCATTGGTCTGTAATTTAGATCAGACTACTTCCGTCCAAATGTACAATATATGAGCGTGCAATCGATCACGTGATAGATTACTAGCCACGTGACATAGACTCGTATTTGTTAGTGATACGTAGAATGCTTTTTGTGGGGCCCATAAAATTTTTTTCGTATATTAATACTGTCGTGCTGCTATTAAAATTGTTTTAAGCCAATGGGACCTTTTTTTTCGTAATATTTTATTAATGCTGTCCTTTCCATTTTTATATAAATTATTTAAAATATAACTTTTCAGTTATATGATCAAATTTGTATATATTTAAAGTATTTAATATGTTTTGTATTAATACCTAAATGTATTTTATATATATATATATATATGTATATATATATACATATACATATATATATATACATATATATATAAACATTTCTACATTTATATTCTTTAAATGTTCATTGAATCGTTAATGAGATTTTGGAAGTTTTTTTTATCTTTGCAATAAATATAATAAAAGTAATTTAAGTAATAAATCAGCACATATAGAAAATATATATTTAAGTACATATAAAAATATTAAAAATATCGAGTTTGAGGATGTTCCAATAAAAATTTGTACATTATTTTACATATTACATAGTGTGTACGCGGAGAGAAAATCTCATGATACGGGACTGATTGGTGTCTCCCTCATTCTTCTGTGATTTTACGCGCAGAAAGGAACCAACGTGAGTATATTTATATTCTTGATAATTTTTAATTATCTGTTACAATAATAAAATAATTTTATTATACGCTTTTCGTTCAGTTACGTAGGAGACATTAAAAAAATGTTCTCACACGAAGGATTTTCGTTGCAACTCCAAGTATATCAAATGCCACATGTTGGTTTATTAGGTTAGCCACTATGAGCATTAAAGTTTTATATACTTTATTAATTTTTAATAGTTATGAATTATATATTCTAATTTCAATTCAATTCATAGTTTATAGTTAAACATAATTTTCTGTGTAAATATAATAAACAATGTGCAAAACAGCTTATCAACAATATTTTCAACAAATGTTTCTGAATAAAAATTATATTTGATAATTAATATATTATATTTTGCTTAACAGATGGCGGACAATGCTCCAGCCGCCCGTGGTGGTTTTCGTGGAGGTTTTGGCTCTCGTGGAGGTGACCGTGGAGGTCTAAGAGGCCGAGGTCGTGGTAGAGGCAGAGGACGTGGCCGTGGACGTGGAAAGGAAGACAGCAAAGAATGGGTCCCTGTTACCAAGCTGGGTCGCTTGGTCAGAGATGGCAAGATCCAATCTCTAGAGCATATTTACCTGTTTTCTTTACCCATCAAGGAGTTTGAAATCATTGACAAATTCCTTGGACCAGATTTAAAAGATGAGGTCTTGAAGATCATGCCAGTACAGAAACAGACGAGAGCAGGTCAACGCACACGTTTTAAGGTGAACCAGAAATCTCTTCAGACATTACAATCAATTAAGAAATTGACTAGGAAAAGAAATATAAAGATTCAAATCTGATAATGTGCTCTTTACTTCTTGTTTCTGATGGTTTTGATCACTTTTATCTCTTGCCTTTTATTCTTTTTCTTTGTTTTTTGTCACTCGAGAGAAAAGTTAACGAACTTTGAGAAAGAGGAGAAATAAAATTGTCGATAAAACGGTCACAAAAAGATACAAAGCAAGAATCAGCAAACAAAGAACATTGTAGATTAGACTTTAATCTAATGATAATCAAGTGATGCTAAAAAAGTCATTGTAACAAAAATAATAAAAGTGAGATATCTTTCGCAGGCTTTTGTCGCCATTGGGGACAGTAATGGACATATCGGACTGGGAGTAAAATGCTCCAAGGAGGTAGCCACTGCCATTCGAGGTGCTATCGTTTTGGCAAAACTCTCCGTTGTACCGGTTCGACGTGGTTACTGGGGCAACAAGATCGGTAAGCCGCACACGGTGCCGTGCAAGGTGACCGGGAAATGCGGTTCCGTACAAGTGCGCCTGATACCAGCGCCTAGGGGTACCGGCATCGTATCTGCTCCAGTTCCCAAGAAGTTGCTTCAGATGGCTGGTATCGAAGACTGCTACACCTCGGCCAGGGGTTCCACCTGTACACTCGGCAACTTCGCCAAGGCTACGTACGCTGCAATTGCTAAAACCTATGCTTATTTGACGCCCGACTTATGGAAGGAACAAGCTCTTGCAAAGGCGCCGTACCAGGAATTTGCCGAGTATTTGTCTAAAACTCACAAAGGAGGCGCGAGGGCAGCTGAAGTTGTCTAAATAAACGTTCAGCCATCATGGAAATTTTAAAAACAAATTTTTTCTTTTTATTCCTCGATTCCTTGGAAGTTGATTCATTACATATTAACATCCCTGCTATCGACTTCAACTAAAAATAATATATGTTATAATTTAGTATTCAATAATGAAACTGTTATATGATATCATAAGTTATATTACATTTATATTGTTGAGTGCAAAATTTTAACATAACATATTAAATGTTGTGTTATTTTTAGTTGGTGTCGACTAGGATATTTTAAAACACCATTTATCAATTTATTTTAGATACATTTTAGTTTTATTTCTATTATCTGTAGAGGTATTGAAATATTTTTTAATGCTACTGCTGATTGCTTGTACTGTTGAACATCTTTACGCATTTAACTTAAACTAAATTAATCGCCAGAATTGCTTATAAAAAGATTATTATATGATTTATTATTGATCTAAACTTTCTTTTCTAGGTAAAATAACGAAAAGTTAATAATATATTTTTTATACTTTTTAAATTATTTTTTTTATACGAATTAAATTTTCAATTAATTTAACTCAATTGGACTTTTAAAAACTCGGGCAAATTTTAAATTTTGAATTATTTTACCTTAAATTAAAACATGCGATTTTTTTTTATTATATAAAGTCATTTCTTCAATTAATTTTATATATTCTTTAAAAAAAAATTCTTGTATTATAATTCTTGTACTGATGAATGTAACGATAATGAGTTTTTCTAAAATTTATAATAAATATATTTTAAGATTCTTATCAAGAAAATATTCTTTATTAAAAATAACTATTGTTTAAAAGGAAGAAAATAAATTGATTTAATTATTTTTCTTAGCAATGAATATTTTTCTGTGTAGCCTAAATTATGAAAAAATTATGAAACTCAATTTGATTAAACATAATTTAAATTTCATCTTAATTTTTTAAATTAAATAATATTAATATATATGTATAATGATGATTATGTATATTTAATTACAATTCTTAAAGTTTGTCACTTTATTGTCGCAATTGTAAAGCGATTACGTCATACAATAGAAAGATTCAACAGTTGAAAACGGTATTTGATCTGCCTGATGATGTCATCAGGTGCTCACACATTATATATATATATAATAATGGCGGTCAATGCACACACATGCATACATATAATGTATGTGTGGGATAATCAAATAATGTAGCTCGACATTCGTGCGATTTTTCCGCGGTGTTCTTATCGGAGGTGTTCTCGCTCACGAAAATCCGGACGGCGGAAAGAGGAGCGGCGTTTCCGGTACCATGTCCCCAGCGCCGTATAGTCCCGTCCGGATTCCCCGTATTCGCGTCACCGTTCCTGACGGCCCGAATCCACGTAAACAGCGCGCTATTGTATTCCACGCGTGACTGACGGAAGGACTCCGATTTCACACAGCGCTTATCGCGCTCGCTTATCGTCATCGACCGCTGCTTCCGACAGCCACACGCCAGGATGTTCAAGAAATTCAAGGACAAGCTCGCGGAGGAGATGAAGCAGTCACCTGCGAGGCTACAGGCGAGTGTGCAACAACTGGCGCAGGTTAAACTCTCCCTTCTTGTTCGAATGTGATTGAACGTGATTTTATGAAAATGACGATCTGCAATTGACTTCTTCTGTTGTTGTTTCTTGCAGGCAGTGGTATCGCCGGCCTTGTCCAACAGCTCTATTCAGGAAGTGTCGAATGACAATTTCAGTCTGACGGAGGATGGAGACGGTAAGCATACCTTGATCGCCTTGGCGAGTTTCACCATTGGATGTACAAAATTTGAAGATTCTCGACATATAGGCTAAGTCGCCAGAATGGGTCAATGGGATGCTAATGACACTTCAACTCTGGAGACATGAAGGATCTTGTACTTGAGCATTCTGTTTCGAGGGTCAATCATGTAACTTTTTCCTTAGGGCGTAAACGTGAAAAGTGAAAATTTTTTGTATGTATGTGTGTATATATATATATATATATATATATACATATTTTCTAGAAAAAGTTATATGATCAATACACTGATGATATATTCTGTATGATACTTTAGGCCTGTTCTTTTTGAATAGGTTGAATTCGCATAGCGTATTTTTCCTCTCGATTTCTTTTCACATTGGAGAAAAAGAGAAAAAATGAAGTTCACTTAAAAAGGACAGGCTTTTTGGAAATAATACCATACATGCAATACCATATTTGCCCTGTATATATTATATACAACTATTCTGTTACAGAACAGTTTGGACAGTATTGAATTCTTTATTTTGCAGAAACGCCAAAGAACACTCCAGTGAAGCACAGTTTCCAAAATGTTGACCTGATGTCGCCGTCTCCGAATCGCATGGAGATCTCGAGAAGATCTTCAATGAGTAGTATCACCAGTGACGCATCCTCGTTATTTCCAATGTACGAGAGTCCTCCGAATCTTTATCATTTACAGGTTTGTCACTTATAAATGCTTATCGGCAGATAGTTTCCTAACTCTCTGACAACTCTGACAGTTTTGCTTTTGCAGTCGGACATGGATCAGTCGGCTAGCGAAATGGACGACAATATTAGTCCTCATCTTGATAGAGTTACGAAGGATCAGTTATATTCCGCTTACAAAAAGGTGCAAACCAAATATCACAAGTATCGCGGTAGATATACGGATCTAGCTACACACTATCGCGAATTGGACAGAGTGAAATCCAGGTTGGAATCTGTATTGGTTGAAACACAAGACAAGGTTCTAAGAAGAATAACCGACCTAAAGGAGCAATGTCAATTAGAGCAACAAGCGAAAGCACATTTAGAGGATGTACTGAGGAATGATATAGAAGAGAAAGATCACATCATAAATACATTGAATACAAAGATAAAATTGTTACAATCAAGCGGACCAATTTTAGACAATTCGGTGTTGGAAGAGGCTCAACCAAAAGAGAGTTCTAAAGAAAACCTAATCGATTTGGCAAATGAATCGTCTAATGACGAGACTAACGCGCTGTCGGTAGAAAATACTCAGTTAAAGGATAAATTAAAAAAGCTGGAAAGTCTCGTTTTGAAGTACAAAGAATCCTTAAAGCGTAATAAGGAGAAATTTTTGGATGTGATGAAGGAGAAGAATACTTTGGAGAACGATCACGAGGCGCTAAAGAATTCCACTGCCGAGAGAATCAGCGTCACGGAGAGTGAACTGAGTGCGGCGCGTATCCAGATTGAAAAACTGACTGAGCAAATAGATACTTTGCACAAACGCGAGGAAGAATCGGCGATTTCATTAGCTGAGAATAAACTTTCCGTACACAGAGAACTCGAGGAGAAAGAGGAACAAATCAAGCAGCTGCGAATCGACCTGAAATATGTGACGGAAGATAAAGAAAATTTAAACGAGGCAGTAGCGAAATATAAGGCCGATTTGAGTGAATTGAAATCCTTGCACACTGATTTGGATAAAAATGCGATAGCATCGAAAGAGAAAATTGAAGTAATAAAATCTATGCAACAAATGGGAATAAAACATCACGAGGAAGTCGATCATAGTGAAAAGATTAAAACAGAAGACGAGAATAAACTAGACGAAGTAACGGTTCGTTTAAAGGAAAAAGAAATCGAGTTACAAGAACTACAGGATAAATTGGACGAAATGGAGAAACAAAATATAGAATATAAATATGATAGGGAATCTATACAAAGTGAACTGCTTGCTTGGAAGACCACATATTCGGACCTGAGGGAGGAGTATCAAGCACACAGGATTATTGCGGAAGAAAGACAAAAAGATGCTGACTCGACAATTGAGAAACTGCAAACGACAGTACAAAGCGTTGACAAAGAATTGGAGAACATGAAAAACGTATTGATCGATAGGGATCAGGTATGCGAAAATTATAATAAAAAGGTGCAACAATACACGGGCATGCTCGAAGAAGCTAAGAATAAATTAACCGAACAGAAAGCAGAAATCATATCACTGAATGATAAATTGGAAAAGTTTTCAGCGCTACAAGAAGAATTGGAGAATAAAAAAACCGAATTAAGCGCGATACAAAATGAGTTCGAGCTTTGCAAATCTACGATCGATGACTTTAAAAACAAGGTTCAGGCAGACAGTTCAGTTATAAATTTACTAAAAAAAGAGAGAAGCGATTTTATAAATCGTCTTATTTATTATAACGATTGTATACATCGTTTAAAGCAGGATTGTATGGTTGTAAAAAATGTCGTTGCAGAGGAATTTTTAAATCAAAAGACCAAAATACTGGACATGAGCGCGATTCTTGCCACATCTTTTACAAAACTCGAAGAAGAAAATATAACACTGAGGTCCGAAATAGATGAATTGCGTTCGAAGATAAAGGATCAAGAACAGCTTATACTCAAAGAGACAGACTTGCAATCAGAATTTGTGCAAATTGTGAATCACAAATCTGTACTGGAAGCGGAATTGAGGAAAAGTAACGAACGACTGAAAGATATGATGCTGAAGAGTAACCAATACGACGAACTTAATACGACGAATAACAAATTAATAGCCGAGATCGATAATCTCAATTTTAAAATTCACGATCTGGAAGCGGTATCGCACAAATTAATGCAGTCACAACAAGAAGTTAAGATTCTACGAGAACGGCTGAGGACATTAGAGAACCTCGAATCTGTAAATCATGCGTTGTCTGTCGAGATTGACGATTTAAGGGAAAAACATGCGCAGGCCAGTCTTGCTTTTAAAAAGGTAGATGAATTGAACGCGAAGTTACATGAGGCGACCGAAGTCATTAATTCGTTCAAATCGGAAAACAGCAATCAAGATACGTTGCGAAAAGAGCTATACGCCTCGAGATTAGAAATCGCTCGCTTGAAGGAAGATCTGGCTGGAAAAGAAGATGAAATAAAAACTCGCGATGAGAAACTAGCAAGCGAAGAGGAGCATGTCGCCCATTTAAAATCCACATGCGACAGTCATATACAGACAATCGAGGAACACGTAAGGAAGTACCTAAACTTGGAAGCTGAGTATCAAACGACGAGGGAGAATCACGCGAAAGAAACTACTGAATTAATGGAGAATAACAAGGTATTGCAGGAAACGGTAAATGTGAAACTCGTACAATTGAAGAAGATGAAAACTATTAAAGAACGACAAAATAAAACAATTGAGGAGGTAAAAGCTGAGCTTGATCAATCAAAGACTCGGCAGGCAGAATTATCCAAAATGTTGGAAACTTTCGAGAAACAGATAGAGTCGCTGAAATTAGAAAATTCTCAACTTTTGGCGATCACCTTGGAGAACAAAGATCTGAAAGACCAACAAAACGATCTCCTGAGTCGCAATCAGAAGCTTTGCGAAAACGACAAGGCTCTGAAGCAGAAAATCTCAGATTACGAGAAGGAGATTGAAGAATTGCGGAAAACAGTGAAGGATTACGTGGAAGCGTATAAATCTCAGCTCAATAGTCAAAGCGAGAAGGCAGAACGTTTAAGCAACGAATTAAGTAATGTTAGCGCGCAATTAGAACGTAAAGATGCGGAATTGAATTCATTAAATGAGAGATTAGTGATGAGCGAAAAAGAATCTCAAGAAATCAAAGGAAAACTTGACGAGAGAGATGTCGAGTTGAAGGACAAAATTTCCGAGTTAGGTACAGCTATGACAAACGGTAATGTCATGAAGGAAGAGAATTCGCGGCTTTGCACAGAATTAAGGACGCTAAGAGATGAAGTTAAAAGAATTAAAGACGTAGAAGAAAAGAATAAAAAGCTGAAATCAGAACTTAATGATTTAATCCAAAAGAATTCTGGTGCAGAAGCAATACGTTCAGAGAACAACATGTTGATTGCCGAGCAAAAAACTTTTAAGAAAAAAATTGCCGAGTTGGAAAGAGTAAAATCTAGCAATATGCAGTTGCAAACTCATGTAAATAATTTACAGTCTAAGATATCTAGTTTAGAGGCCCTGCGTATGGAAAATAGTAGACTGCAGTCGGAGATTGAAGCTTTGCAGTCCGCGAAGAATTCGTCGCCGGAAGTAGGCGCCTTAAAAGATACATTGACGGCGAAAGACGCGGAGATAAAATTATTGGAAGATAAAATATCCAATATGTCACAAGAGATTGGGAATTTAAAACGGTTTTCGCTTGAAATCGATGAAAGGAGGAAAGGTACAGACACACTGAGAAATTCGCTCGCGTTAGCGGAAGAAAAGATCACCGGTTTGCAGTCGGAAATTAATTCTCTCATTCGGACAAACGATGCGTTAAAGAAAGAATTGGAAACTATCCGTAACGACAAAGACGCGAAAGGCCAACTCATCAGTGACACGTTGCGCGAGGAGAATAAGAGATTAGAGGCCCAGCTCGATGAAGCGTTGATTACATTCCAAGCGAAAGAGACGCAGATGCAACTTGCAAATAATGAATTAAGATCGCAAACTAATCAACTGAGAGAACAGTTGAAAACCAGCGAGGAGGAACAAGGCATGAGACTGAAGCAACTGGTGAAAGAGTTTCAAGCTCAGTTGCATGATAAAGAAGAAGAACTTCAAGCCGCATTGGAGAAACGTTTCGGTAAGATGTTATTTTATTTTTCAAAAATTATATATATATTTATATGTAACAAAAAAAATTTGAAAAACATTCCAATATATAACCGGTATTTAATCTTTACGTAGATCGCCAACACAACTACGAATCGAATCTTGTACAGCAATACAAGGAACAATTAAAAGATTGTCAAATAGAGTTGACAGAGAAGTCTGAACAACTCGAGAGCCTTGTTCTAGAGAAAAAAGATGTGGTAGCAGAGAAGGGAAAGGATATTGATCGCTTGGTAGAAACCATCGCGCAGATTAAAAAGGAACACACTGATGAATTAAAAGAATTAGAGAAAAAGTGGAAGGCTATAGTGCAGCAGAAAATCGACAATCTGCAAGTTAAACACGAGGATGAATTGAACGAACTAACAAAAGAGTGGCAGAACGAAAGAAAGGTAAGTTTAAAATAATTTGAAAGTATAATTCAATTTAATCCTATATGTATATATTTTAAATTTATTTATTTAGATATAAATTTTTAAATGTATGATTATTTTATTTATTCATGCATATTTCATTTTTTTTTAATTTAATTTTTTAATTTTCGTTCACGTATTTCGCATTATTTTCAGCCTGATGCACAAACTGATGCAGCTTCCAAGGTAAAGCTTCATTTCTTTTTATTTAATGCCTATACTGACTATGCTTTTTTTCTATACATGCTTATTTTATATAGCACAGTTGTTTAAAAATTGAGAGTTCTGAGTAAAGTGAAATTTTATACAGGAATTGGAAAGTACTTCTCGCGTGGCGATGGCCGCGATACACACGAGCACCGGTTCGATTCACACCTTGCAACAGACTTTGACGTCTCAGAGGCGAGAACTCGCGGAACTCAGGAAATTGGTCAGTTTGCGACATGACACATTAGAAGATTCGACAGAAATTGAGTACCTTAGAAATATTCTGTTCGAATACATGATGGGAAGAGAGACGATGGTGCTCGCCAGAGTAATCGCCGCCGTCGTCAAGTTCGACCAAGAACAGACCGCGAAGATACTTAAGAAGGAGGAGGATAAACTAACTCTGGTAAGTGGCAGCACGAACTGATCTCTCTATCTAACACAGTACATATATATCTTATATTTACGGATTTCTTTTCAGTTTGGCTCGTTTGGTCTCTCGTAGTCCGAGATGTACAATTTTTCTATATAGAAGAATTCTATAGACAATTGATGCGTTTCTCTGCCCGAGTATCATATGTTTCTAAAGGCCGCTCCCACGAGAGCTTTACCTTCGGTTATATATATACTTATATATAAAAGAAGAAAATAAGAATTTGTACAAATTAGCAACAATATGTAATATTTGCAGATTTTTATAAATATTAATTTAACAAAATGTTATCGTATGTGATAAGGCTTATATAATATAGAAATATAGATAATGTATAAAATGTGTCCTCTTACCTGTAACTTCTGTAAAAGATAATTATGTGCTGAAATACGCATTGGAAGTATATACCATCTATGATGAACGCTTTTTACGTTAAGAAAATGGCAATGTTTCGTAAGCACAATAGGTAGTCTAAAGACTAATATACATATATATATTGTAATTAATAATATATATTCCCCAAATGAATACTGTTTATCAAATAGTTTATTACGAATATCGCATCTTATCACCAACAACATTATAAATATATATTTACATTAATCTTGTTTATACATAAATTTCCGATCGCACTAAGTACTTCACGTTCCATTCATTTTAGCGCGTATGAAATAGTTAAATCATGCAGTTAATTACGAAAATAAAAAGATATATTTCGAAACTATAAGACATACTAGATATCATTAGAATTTTGATCAAGGATCTTGGATGATCAACATAAAAAAAGATGCTTAAAATTTTAGGTAGGTATAAAAGAAATCAATTTATTTCATACCTTCCAAGTTTCGTAGGTGCGAATCGAAAAAATCCTTCCTGTAAGAGATTGGTACATGCTTCAGTCTCAAAAAATTCTCTTCATTTCCATGAACGGTATATGTATTTTTCCCGTCTGTTCCAAGGAGAGTCCTCAAAGCTCTGTTTCTATTTAATGTTTTTTCATAAAATTCCTGTCCTCCCTTGATATATTCGGTTCCTAAACGACACAAAGCTTCATCGTTCTCTTTATCGAGCTGATAACTCCGATAGTCCTTTACACCGAACCAAAATATTGCACCAAATAAAGTGAAAGTCGCGTAAAGCATACGTCGTACTATTGCATTGCCTTCGCGTACTTTATATCTGTATGATATAACATTGTAAAGTGTCCATAGGGTCCCTATAGTTAAAGCCAGCCAGAGTGAATTAAAGTACGGCTCCTCCGCCTGAATTCGCAAGATTTCGCGCGCTATTGCAAATTTTTGTGCATCCTCGGAGAACATTACTGCTTTCAGAAAAGCCTTCGCGTCTTGCCGCGTCCAGTCTACTGGTTCCTCCTTAATCTGCAGATTCTTGTAAAGCTGCTCTGTAGTATTGGTGAAATTAATGGGAATTCCCAATATTGCACCGTATTTAGCATTGAAAGTGCCAGCGTGAAGCAAATCGAAACCAAATACGCTGACGGGCTTTATAATAGCTTTAACGTCGTCGGATAGTTTCAAATCGCTCATTACCTTCTGAATTATCTGCTGGATTTTAGAGCTTAACTGCACCTCTTTTCCCATTCTATATGTTTATAGAAAAAAGGGACATTAAGTCTCAGACTTGGAATAAAGAATGAGAATCCTAAAACCTTGCATTACTCACTGGTATGTGGCTACCATGTATTTATACTTTTTCAGGAAGACAGTGTGTGGCATAAGGATTGCATAATATCCAAATGCAGTCGCAGTCACACCCAGAATCACGCTACTGTACTTGAATGAAAATCTATTCATGCTTACACTGCAATTCTGAAAATAAAACATGTACTTTTAATATCTGTATTCGCATCTCTCTGATGGCGACGTCGATCGATTTTGATTAACTTAATTTGCAATTAATATAACTTACAAAGTTGTTTTCAGTAAAACTTCAGATTGTTAAAATATGCTTCTGATTTAATTTTTCGATGTCACATGTAACGAAAAGAATTTATAATTTTATTCACGTTGATGAAATTATTTGATAAATTAATCAAATTTGATTGAAGTCACTATAATGTATAAAGAAATTCCAAAAACTCTGTTTTACTTTTCTTTTCAGTTTACTTTTTCTAATCGTGAACCATAACCTAACATAATTACCCGGTTACAACACAACCTAACTTAAACTAAGCAACGTTGCGTGTGTTAGTAAACATGGCGAAGGTAGAAGAGAAGTCGATCAATTTCTTCGAGCAATTAGAACGTGTATTTCCAATAATTAAGGGAAAGGTACGTATAATATATGTTGTATATTGAAATTACAAATATGTTTTTTCGGAATGGGATATCAATGTTACGATATCAACGTTAATATTATTGTATGAAATCATAACCTCAATATAAGTACGGTGTTCATGTCAGGACTGTAAATAAGATCCGAATTTTTTAATATTTGAGTAATAGATGTACAAATATTTAATATTATTTTAATAAATATTAATAAATTGTATTTTGCAATCAATTATATTTTTATAGTTCTGCAAATTCATGGATTTTTATGTTAAATTGATTTTTTAGGCGTAAAATTTTGATTATCTGAATAATTAAACATTTTATTGTTAGACTTGAGATGACAATTATCTTGGATAATTTGGATATCATATTTAAAAATTTAGTTTAAAATTCAGACTGATATGTTATTTTTAGATTACAAGGCTTACAATAACTTAAAAAAACAGTATATGTGACATGATTCTCATTATCACAGAGATACACAACTCAATCTTTTAACAACTTCTTTTTAATTCTTATTCTTACGAGATGCTTGATAATCTCTTTTTTTAGATTCAAGAGGAATGTACAGAGGAGGAATTTGCGAATTTAGTGGAAATTATACAATTCGTCAAGACAACAGAATATATCATAGAGGTTGTGATTCATAACATAGAACAATACATCCGTTGTCACGTGGCGCCGACATTCTGGAAGAAGTTTGAGTATACGGAGGATAGCCAACTGGGTTTTGAATTGTTCAAATCTGCTGTTGATGGTCTATACGCCAATCTCACAGAGTTTCTGCCGATTCTAAAAAAGTTAGAATTCTTAAGACAGAACAAAGGCGAAACGTCAAGCATTGAGGACAGTATAGATATAGAAGCACAATTCAAGCTCATTGTGAGAGCGACATTATTGAGCCAACTACCTCTGTGTCATGAATGTATTATAGAACATTTTTACAAAATCGCGTTCAATGTATTTTGTAATTCAGATAACTTGTCACAAGGTAAATTATAGTATATAAGTATTCATCTTTATTATTTGTGTTATATCTGTGATTTATGCTTGAGAAACATGGGAAATATGATAGAAATATACGCTTTAAAATAGATATATCAATCAGCGAGATCCAGTGTACAGGATGTGGCCAGGAAATGGAGAATTGCCGGTGCCAGATGATAGTTTATATGTTTCACGAAACAAACAGAAAATTAATCGAGTTGGAATTATTGGAGAGGCTTGTGGGAAATGTACTCACGTCGCTAATCCATATTCGTATTAAAAATCATGTAATTCAAACGTGTGATAAGACATTTGATGTGTCGCAATTGATCTCTTTAGAAAATGTACGTTAGCTTTCGCTCATTATATAATCTTACACAATTGTATAATAATGGCACTGAGTTATTACATTGTATAATAATGACAATAAGTTATTACATTTTATGTTTTAGTGGCTCGAAACTGTCGTGATGAATTGGTTAATAAGAGTTTATTCCGGTGGTTTCTCGAAAACTGTAGCCCTTAGCGATGAAGTTCGTAACGCCATAAACAAGTTCAAACAGAAACTATCTCATTTTCTGTACGAAACGTACACTAATATAAGAATCGATCATCTATTTAATATAATAATAGGTACAATTTTAATTAATATATCTATAATCTAAAGTAATTTATTTATTTATAAAGATTTATTATTTATTTGCAATTTATACAATTACGTGCTATATTTTTCTTTAGAATATCCCGAGTCGCAGCCTGCGGTGGATGATCTCAGAGTTTGTTTAGAAAGAACCGATAAACGGAAGGTTCTGGTTAAGAATCTGCAAGAAGCGATCAAAACGCGGCTCCTGCATGCTGGTGTGAACACTCCAGATATAGTGACCGCTTATATTGCTGCAATCAAAGCGCTCAAGCATCTCGATCCAACTGGCGTTCTTCTAGAAGCTGTAACGGAACCTATCAAGTGAGATCCCTTGTTTTGTCGTATCAAAATTTCAATTCATAATGTGAATTTAATATAAAATGCTAAGAAATACAGTTGTTTGTCAAGTCCAATTTATCTTTTAGGTGTTATTTGAGGAGCAGAGAAGACACCGTACGTTCCGTCGTTAATAGCTTGCTTGATGATTCACCCAGTGAATTAGCCGACGAATTGGTGAAAGGCGAGTGCTTGCAGCTGGACGATGGTTCAGCGGATGATGAGACTGAAGATTGGGAAAAATGGATGCCGGATCCAGTCGATGCTGATCCCGGTAAACTGCGAAATTTCCTTGTATAATTGGCTTTAGCGAAAAAATTCGTGCTGCTCTATAAATCGCATTTATCATTATATTCTATTTCTGAAGGATTGGATTTAAAATATATCCTCTAAATTAAAGATTTGAGTTGAAATTGAATCATAAAAAGCAGTTTCAAAATTTATATGAAATAAGATATTTTTATAATGAACTTTTCTCTCAATAAAAATTTATTTTTCCAGCTAAATCGACACAGCGTAAAGTGTCCGATATCATTTCTACGCTGGTGAATGTTTACGGTAGCCAGGACTTATTCGTCAACGAGTATCGCACGTTGCTGGCGGATAGACTACTCTCACAACTTAACTATCATACCGAACGCGAGATACGTCACTTAGAGTTGTTGAAGAGACGATTCGGGGAGAATCAATTGCATTACTGCGAAGTTATGCTGAAGGATGTTTATGATTCGAAAAGGATAGATGGTAACATCCATTCTGATACCAGTTACAATTTGCAGAGGGAGCTCTTTCCCACCTCCGCACTTATACTATCAGCGCAGTTCTGGCCACCGTTTAAGGAAGACTGGAAATTGAAACTACCAAGCATCGTGCAGAATCAACTGAACAAATATGTGAAGGCGTTCGAGGCCTTGAAGGGAAACAGGACGCTCTGTTGGAAGCCTCACTTAGGAAATGTGAGTCTGGAAATCGAATTAAAGGATAGAAAGCTAGATATAAACGTCACACCAGTGCACGCAACGATTATCTTGCACTTCCAAGATAAAAGTAAGAACACGTTGATTATTTATCGAATCGAAACGCAAATACATGGTGAAACAGTTGTTCTTAAGTTAAGTTTATTTTGCAGATGAGTGGACTTTGCAAGAGCTGGCGGAGGTGATGCATGCACCGGCGACTGTTCTTCGACGTAAAATGGCATTTTGGGTGTCGCAAGGTCTTTTGAAGGAGACTTCTAGTGATGTGTTCGTTTTGCAAGAAGAAAGTACATCGAAGAACCGTTTATCGACGGATATCGTCGAGGAGGAGGAGACTGAGAGTGCAATGGCTTCAGCCAGCGATCAGAGAGAGGAGGAGTTGCAAGTGTTCTGGTCGTACATCGTTGGAATGTTGACGAATCTAGAATCATTGCCAATAGAAAGGATTCATCAGATGTTGAAAATGTTCGCGTCGCAAGGACCGGGTGCTGTTGAGTGCGGCTTACCAGAATTAAGACAATTTTTGGACAGAAAAGTCAGGGAACATCAACTGTTACTCTCCGGTAGTTTCTATCGATTACCAAAGTCATAAAGTGGTAAAAGGATTTTCTACTCCATACTGCTTGTACTAATTTAATTAATACAATCAATAAGAAAATAATTTATCTTATGTTAAGTGGATATTTTTGTACATAGAAGGATCTCTTTTAATAGAAAAATAAAGCTAATGTAAATATTTCGATATGTTTTGTATGAGATTATGAAATGTTCATTTACTTTTTGATAACTTATACATGTATCAATAAAACGGAAATCTTATTTATACTTGTCATTTCTTTCAAGTGTCAAGGAAGTGTCGAGTATTGAAAAAATATTTTTATTACCGTTCATCATAGTATTTATACATGTTTGTATAAACTATTTTATTTGCACTTTCAGTAAATTGTGAATTTTCTTCGATAAGTAGCGTACAGTATACTATGATTCGTAATCAGATCTTTCCGAGATTTCAGAAAACAGAATTGCTTTTCATTGTCACTTACACATTAATATTGCCACATATCCTGCACATATATCAACATTAAAATAAAATATGAAACTAAAAAATTACCATGTACAATAAATTTCGGCAAAAAAAAACTATATAACTATAGAATAATAAATGTAAATTCGCATGCCGTAAGATCTAACAAGATTTTTTTGCTTGCACATATATATAATTTCTTATGTAACTTATCTGAATACATTTATAAATACGATAACAGGGTGTAAACAAATCACGCCTGCGTTTACTTCTGCGGTAATAATAATAATAATAATCTCGAAAAATTATAAAAAAATAATAATGAAGATCGGATATTTATGCGCCATATAGCTTATATAATTGATAAAGCAGTGCGAGCTGCAATAATATTATACAAAAACTATATATAATAAATTATGATAGAACGCAAATATTAAAAATGGATTTTCTTTCCAAAATCATAACAGATAATGTATCGCCGTTTGACGCAGAAGTAAATCACAGTGGTATTCATACCGTCCGGATATTCAACTGAGTCAGTGCATATGTATAATACATTATGTGTATACATGTGTAATAATTTACGTTCTCAGGCGCATATATATATATATATATATATTAAACAGAATATACACAGAGTATATCTGTTCTCTATATGTATAATCACGCTCGCGAATGCGCATATATATAATTCGTATATTATAATCGCACTTAATAAAGGACGATGATATTCAAAATATTTCGTTAAATCAATTATTTACGTACAATAATAAAATATATCGAATATATTTGTTTTTTTTTTACGTTGAAAACTTAAGTAGATTTCAGATCACTCTTAAACATGTGCGTGTATATCTTTCAACGCTTATATATACATGAAGGACCGAGCTATCGGTACACCTAGGAGGGACTCCTTGGACAAAAATTCAAAAATATCTGTCGAAAGAACGAGTATAACATTTGACACATGAATGACTATACAGAAGTTATATAACGCGTGCAACTTGATATTCTTAATCGTTACATGTACAATATGGCAGACCTAAAGTGATGCAACTCTCTAATATAATGATAAAGTCGATATTAAGTAAGTCACTCTCTCACGCAAACACTCTTTGCTTGTATGTAGACAGAGATTACATACATTTCTTTTGTTTATATTCATATACATGTTTAATAATATCTTGCAAATAATTCCGCGATGTAGAAAGTCATAACAGATCTCGTGATACTTCTGTTATTTTTTTTTTGCCGTTTTGCCTGATGATACGAGGTTTTATCAATATTTATATAAATATATATACGTATCTGTTTGATAATCCTGCAGTTTGAATTGTAAGTTTTTCGCAAAGTTAAAATGTGCAATTTATTTCTTGGCAACGCATTTTAGACTTTTCTTTCATCATCAACGTATTGCACATTGACGTACTAGAATATTCTCTGCGAACAGTACTTCTCTTAATACTTTCAGTTGAAACAATATGTACATGTAGCTCTCTCGTGCATCCGCATACAACGCATACTTTTAAAGCCTTATCCTCGTGATATTCATGATTCTAGCTATGGATGTTCCTAACAGTTCTTCTCGCAACTTAACGAAAAAGACTATTAGGAGAACAATCTAATCGACATTGTCCTTCTCTTTCTAGGGATATACATATCGCGTGAAAGTTAAATTTTGATTGCACAGTTCTAATGCTACTACGTAGAGTCTATCGATAACAAAGCTTTATCTAGAACGGTAACGCGGCTACACCGCACTACGTTAACATTATATAAGGCACATTTATGCGAGAGAGTTGTATAGAATTTCGACAATTTCTCCGACGTGAGAGACGTGTCGCACGAGAAAAAAAAAAAGGAAGACACATTGGCATCAATTGTGATTTTCTCCGACGAGATCTTTGAAGAACTTCGCAAGTTCTCGCATATATTCTCGTTTGTGTTTTTTTTTTTCGCGCGACACTTCCTTCAGCAGTTAGCTCTTAAAAATGCGCGTAAATATATGATTGCATTTAAGTTATATTAACGTTGTCACATTCTTGCGCTGCCACCTCCAGAGACGGGGAGGTACCAGCGTAGTTATAAGTACTGGGAAAAACGCGAACAACATTTCATCGCTGCCACGAGAAGAGAGAGAAAATAAAATACTTCGGAGATACATCGCGCGCGTGCTACAACAAAATTCCCCTCCCCACGAGGGAGTAAAAATAACCGATAAACTAACGTTCATACTAAAAACTACTGCTATTACCGCTAACGTTGCACTGAATTCAGATTTCGCATACCTGACTCGCGTCCAAAACAAGTTCGGAATAGTCCTGCGTTTTCTTTTCGCAAAAAAGGCGTGCGGGTATTCTACATAAAATATATAATATATATTTATGCATAAATATATAATATATAAAATGTATATAGGGTCCCAAATCTCTGTTTATTATGCTAATGCACCTCGCTACGCTACCGTTTTGCGAAGTGAGACGAATTATACTTGTGCCATCGACGGCACGAAGTGGCTCGGATTCCAATCGGCGACGACTCCATCGATCGCCGAGACGCGTGGGAGAAACTAACGTTTCCGAACATTAAGAGGATACAGGATGATGGATAAGCTTGACGAACGGGGCTGGTGACGCGGACGGACGGCGAAGGTGGTCGGCTGGTTGGTGAACCGATCGAACGCGGGATGCTGTTCCAGAGTCCAGGTGTTAGCACGGGGCGAGTGGATATCCATTGTTAGCACTCCAAGCCTACAGGCCACGGGCAACCGGGGTTAACAAGAAAGAAAAGAAAAACAGTTTGTTAGTAATCTGATTATGATTGACCGACGTTAACATTAAGTATCTAGTAGCTCGCCAGCTGAGAGAAATATAGTTAGTGGTGAAAAGCAACGCTTCCACGTTTCTCGTGCGCGCGTCGTAACAGACATATAATCTCCGGCAAATATAATAGATCCGTTAAATCGATATCAAGTTAAAAAATTTCTTCCAATATTATTTCATGCGTTAGAGTTTCAATTCTTCGTTCACGAACGAAAGAAGACTGTCCAATGATCGCGCGAGCACTCGATCCGAATCAGGAAGATTCGTCCGATGATGAAGCATTGCTTTGCACCGGCTACTTGTAATATTATTAGTGTGAAGCATTCGACTTGTACGCGTTATTACAAGATAATAATCCAACGGATTCACGCGGAAAAAACGAACGTATCTAGTATCAAGCCAACATTAACTTCGTTATCTCACAAATGTTCATGACAATTAGACCCGTTCGTTTCTGCTCAAGTGATTATGGCTCGTGATACCCTTCCTGCGCGCAAAAAAAAAAAAACGTACAAATCGATGGATTACACATCGCTGAAATAACTCGCGTCAGGCTGGATGCACTAGTGAATAAGGGCACAATGCTCTGTCGGTTTCTAATTACACATTCCTCAGCGATCACATTTATTGAAACCAGTCGTCCGACGAGTTTGTTGTTTCACTTTTGTCGTTTTATGCGATATACTTTCGATGTTAATGACAATCAAAAATTACGATCTCAAATTAATAAAACAAACACACAAAATTTCGTTGCAGTTTTGCAAAAAATTCAATTAATTAACCGACCGCTCACTGGTGCATCTATCCTGCAGCATTCGTAAAAGAACGTAGCTGCCTGTATATGTCAGAATATCAGCCAAACAAAAAAAAGAAGAAACGATCAAGTGAAAAGAATCGATGATCGATCACTATCTGTTAATCGCTACCATTACACACGTACGTGAATTGCGTTATTTCCGAACATTATAGCGATTTTTCAGACAGGCAGCCTGGGTGTGCACCTGTCACCACATTAGCACCGGTAAATGAGAAAGATTATATAACGAAATTCCGATTACATAGTTACGATGGTATTATTTTATAGATCACTATTGATCTTTAGTGATTAATGTCCCATCAGCAAGCAGGTGTCAAAGGCTCATGAGTGTTGCATGTGCCATACAGGACAGATATTTATAGTACAATTCCAGGCATTCCTTTTTTTTAAGAGAAGCATATTATTATTAATAGACGCTATTAAACAGATCTGTTTATACAGTAAATATAATAACGTGAGTTGTGTGGATCGAGTGATGACTGGAGATTCGACGAGAAACTCGCATATCAATAAGAGAACGTAGTGGTAGAGCTGTTTTCGATTTTAAAATGTTTAAAACTGATAGACGAATCGTAAATTGTAATTATAATGCATGTGTCTCAATAAATAATAATTTGATTGATCTTGAGATCTGTTGATAATTTGTACATATTAACGACTATCATTTAATTGATAATAATGAAATAAATAGAGAATAAATAGAATCAATAAATAGAACCACAATAAATAGAAAAATAGTATTGATTATTTTCGAAGCCATATTTTCATCAAAATTTAAACTTGCGATATCTTATTTAAAAAAATATTTTATAGGGATGAAACAACAATATGCTCGACGATACTACATGCAATATTGTATTTTAAATATAAAATTAAATAAAATCAAAATAGGCAAGTTCATTTGAATTTCTATCTATAGTTCATAATTTATATTAAATTGTTAAACACAGTTTCATCGTAGAACCTTCCAATATGGATTAATTCGACATTTGTATAACATTCTTCATGTAAATATGAAAATACTGGTGTGTTGTATGCATGTACTGTGTAGATTAAATGCATGAATAACTTCTTTGAATAAAATAATATTGATTCATTTTAAATAAAAATAAATATAATCATTAAACTTATTTCTGTGTTCACCTAAAAAGTAACTCTCAATATCACATGATTATATTAAATTAAAATCTTTATAAACAATCTACGTCACTTAAATCACGTAGAAAGTTCTAAAAAATATGCAAAATTAAATTTTTTAAATTTAAAAGCGCGTTTCTAATCTTTCGTATTCTAATTCATAAAAGGTATGTAAAACGTGTCAGATTTGAATAAAAAAATTCGCACTAACATATCAAATTCATATACGTTGTTGTATGTGCACTGTGTATGTATTTATGCATACATGATACGTGCGCATATATGAATTACAAAAACACGTCATAAGAAAAGAATATTTGCATAAAAATTGCAATATAAGCAATTTTTATTCACGACAAATGTTTCACGAACAATAATTTTTGCGCCTCGTACATATTCACGCATCTGTATTTCATTTGTGTGCGTGTGTATGTGTGTGTGTGTGTATTGTGTGCGTATGTGTGCGTGTGCGTGTGTGTGTGTGTGTGTTTGAGCATTGTTGTTAGTTTTATTTTATAAATAAAATGGTGCAGTTGTGCATCTTATAATGAATGAAATTGCGTCTATGATAAGGAATGTCAATTATGTATAAAAAAATATTTGTTAGTGAGATAAAATATGTAAAAAGGACGGGAGAAATGCCATCTCCGGCAGCATTGTCCACACTTTCGCGGTTTACTTTATTTCTTTTTCTCTTTTTAAAATCGAACAGTATCGCGAAAAGAACGTAAAAAAATCAGTGTGGAAGACAATCGTTTTTAGCGACTCATTAACACGATAACAACGAAGTAAAAAGCAACCCAAGTAGAACATAGAAGGCATAATAATATCATAAGGACATCATCATGACCTCATTTGTCATTTACAAGTAAATTTTTAAGTATCAAATGACGTCATGATGACGTTCTGTAATATCATTACGACTTAATTATAACTCCGTGTTCTACCTGGGAAAATGGGAAGGACAAAAAAAATTAAATTTTTACTCGCGTGCGTCTGATTTTCCCGAGGTATTCATAGTCCGTTCTTATTTTAAGACTGTCTTAAGTAATGTCTTAAAAATGCAAATCCAGTTCTGTGATTGACTTACAACGCCTCAAGACTGTACTCAAGACCATCTTAAACATATAAGAATCGACAATGAATACTAAATCTGTTGCGACAATGACAATTTATCACGGTTTAAACGACCGGATCGACGCGTTGCATAAACCTTCGCATCATACCGCGTTACCATCCCTTGATTTCTCATTCGCACCACGGAAATATGTATTCCTTGGGAGAGCAGGCAATCTATTAATGTCAGACAATTTCTGGATTGACGCCCTGTGTTTACGTGGGGAAATCTTTTATAACAAAGCGAATATAAATAAAATCGTCGAAAGCCTTGAGAGAGGTTTCGCGGAATTTTCCGATATCTCGATGGTACATATCGTTTCGGAATTCTTTGCTAATCGCGCGTTATTGACCAAGAGACAATACTCGCATCTATACAAGTATCCGCTACGAACATCCGTTCCGCAAACTCGCGCACGTTAGCGCTACGCCTCGATCTTATAACGAATTTATATTGAGAAAAGGAAAGGCCGATAAAACGCGAAAAATAGTAATAGAGATAATCTTCCGGATTTCCGTACCACGAACATAAATTCTCGTGGATCTACGTAAAAGCGCGCGTGTGACCCTCGAGATTCATGCAGCGAGCTCGTATTTTACAATTTTCCTTTCGGCCGCGAATCTAATTATAGATTCGGCCTGACGCAAGGTGTTGTTCGCCCGCTCTATTTTCACCCGAGCGAATAATCCTCCGTCGCGATCAAAGCTGTACGTCGAGTAACTCAAGATACGTATAAAACCCATAGAAGAAGTGCACACCCACGATCGCAATTCTGACAATCGCGTCGCAGGTATTACTTGATGGTATCAACAACTAATCGGCGTCTGATTGAAACCGTTCAGAAAATATTCCCCGGACTCCGTCCAAAATGTTTTCGCATCTAAATTTCGAATTTTTTCCCCACATTTATAAGATAATTTCCTATTAGTGTGCCTTTGAGCCAATTTACTTATTACTTGTTGAATTAATTATTAAATATTGTAGTTTTAATTTCGTCTGCTTGAAATCAATATCGGGTTTTCAACTATTTTTTAAATAATATTGTTTCAATCTAAAAATATTAATATTTTATAATGTGTGTAATGAAAATAAAGAAAATATGTTTTATCCTATTAGCGTGTCTCTCCAAGTGCTTTATTAATATGCCCCCAATTATCCCATCCGCATTTGATTCATTTTAATATATAGTTACTAAGACAAATAATAGATTTAGTAAGCTAATAAATCGTTATTTTAATTATACTTACAATTTTAATGTACATTTATAACACAACGTTCTCAATTCCAATACAAAGCACTAATAGAGACAAATTAAAAATCTTGGACTCGCATAAATTTCTCTAAATTGTGATATGTATCCTTCAAAAAAATATTTACTATACTTTAATAATTAAAAAATAGATATTTATATTTTGATAGATACATTAATAATTTAGTAAAAAAAAAACCTCTCATTTATTTGTGCTAGTTTTCTTTATGGCTTATATGAATACAAAGACACATTAATAGAAACAAATACAATAAAAGGAATAAGGAATAAATTACTTATTATCTAAATATTCCGATTTATCTTTTACGCGTAAGCTTTACAGATATGTAAAAAAAGAAAAAAAATATCTACTGGCTACGTCGCTCCTTCGAACAAGACGGCAATGCTCGCGCGTGCAAAACTATCGTTAAGTCAGCTCGAAAAGATCACGACGCAGCGCGGAACGGAGTTCGCATTTGATTTCGTTGTACTGCTTGTTTTAGATGCATAAAATGCCAAACGCGCTTTCGACATTCCGGACGCTTAATACCTGATTCCTGGCGGCGGCCCTAAGCCGAGAAACGAGTCTTTCTCTCTCTCTTTCCTTCCAATCCATATCAATTCGCCTATGCGTGATTTCTTTCTCTCTCTCTCTCTCTCTCTCTCTCTCTCTCTCTCTCTTTCTACCTCTCCCTTTCTTTCCCGTTACCTCGACTCATGTATTATTATGGCTAATGAAAGTTACGTGGCTTTCCACCATCGGAATGGTCCGGGGAAGGTGCGACCTATATCCCTTCTTCTCTTTTTTTTCTCTTTTTGATAAGTAGGGAGACATATGTATTGCGACATTAATCAATTCTTCCGTCACGGTCACCGGAAATCTATCTGCATATGCATACGTGTGTAAACGAGAAGTGCTACTTCAACCGATGAAACACAATCGATGTCGATCGGTGCGGCGTCAGGTACACAGGACGAGACGCGCGCGTGCACACACACGCACGCACGCACGCATGCACGCACACACCACCATTGCTGCTGCTCATGCTCCAGTCCGAGTGAAAGCTTCCCGAACAACAGCACGTTTATGGAGGAGACACGTGTGAAAGACCCATATTTTCGCCGCGGCTTCAGCACGAGCCAAAACCGAGACGCGTGTTGTGCTGCGCGAGTCTCGTCATAAATAAACGACAAAAAGCTATATATGTATATATAAATCTCTCATCGGAATGATCTAAGCACGCTACCATGCTTTCTAAAACTTTTAGACTGAATCTCACTCTAAAGAGTCTCACTCATAAAAATAGAAAATTGAGCCATTTTTTTTCTAGACTGGCTTAATTTTTACTTTTTAAAGTGAGATTCCACTACAAAGTGTTTAGAGAGTGAACTCGAAATTATTTCAATATAGATAGCTCTCACAGGTTAATCATAAATATACAACAAAGTTATTAAGATATTAGGTGTAATTAAATTAAATGTTCAAGGAGTTCGCTAAAACAGAAGTAAGTCAGGTTGATACAAAAGATTCGTCAAATCGAAAATAAAACTCCAGCAAATTTGAAACGACTTGATGCCATGGTTTCAGTTTTTTCTTTTTCATCAAGAATAAGATTATTTAAAAAAAAAAAAAGATAAAAAGAAATTCTGTGATTTTTGTTTCTACTACAAAAACTTTCTTGCATCAGACAAAAAAAATTTCTTGCATCAATCTATGTATAGTTTTAGCGATCGCTATCGTTTTCTGGTTTTGAAGATAAGTAACGTAAATGGCATCGTCACGAGACGAGAAAAACGCCTCGATCATTCCGACGTCGAGATTGCAAGGAAGATGGTGAAGACGTTGAAGGAAAAAAAGATAAAAAAATAAAAGGACAAAAGAGAGAACTTAATTGATTGCCTGAGCAGACACTAACCTTTCCGCAATGGCGCGGGAACAGTGCTCTGTTTTTTCTCTCTTTTTCGCTTTTTCTCTCTCTCTCGCTTTCTTTTTCTCTCTCTTTCTCTCTCTCTCGCTCTCTCTGTGTACTCGCATCGTCTCTGTGTGTTCACGAGAGAGCGCCGGCCCTTTGATAAGGGTGCTCGCGTCCGCGGCTTGGCGGCGGCCGCCGCTGCGCCTGTCGCCAACATATACACAGCATGAGTATGGTCAGCAGGACCGTCACTTCCGGCGCACTTTTCTCTGCACGGATCCACAAAGGATCCGCGCTCGTCCGCCAGTCTCGGTTCGCTAAAAAAATCTAGAATCCTGCCGCTATTATCAGTGCAAAAAAAACGACACACATCGGGGAGGGAGGAACCCGTATCACAAAGAATATTTTCCATCGACAGTATTTACCATTGATATTTATTGGTACTAATTTATGATATACTAACAAGGATGAATCCTAGCTTCTGTTTTCTTTGTGCAACGGGTCCCGGCGACGACGCCGCTACGACGTCAACGAGACGAAAGTGGGTTGTTTCAACTCCGCTGAACACGGAAAAAATCACCCCTTCCGAAAGCGATCTGTACGTGGCGACGTCGTAGGATTAACCCTTAAGTAAGCGCATGGGATCAGTCACTTCTTCTTCTTCTTCTTAATCTCCTGGATGTAGTTCCAACCCACCTAAAAAGGGTTATACTACCATGAGTAAAAGGCAAATCAAACGATGGTGTTTAGACCTCGGGAGAGAGAAGCTCCAGAGCCACTTCAATCGCTGTATGATTCTGCTAGAGCGCCTACTTAAGGGTTAATGCTGATCGTTACCTCCAGTCTACGACCGATACGCGAGCTCACGATCGTCTACGCAATCATCCCTCCACAACTATGAACACGAAGGACGCGGAAGCTACTAAATGCCTGAAACACGCGCGAAAATACTGCGAATACGGTAGAAATACTGCGGAAATACGATAACGCTCGTATACTCTAAGAATGTCCTTTCTTATTCTCAGCTTGAGCATCGCGAGCGTGGAATATGAGACACGTCGCTGTTCTAATTCGATATCGAGATTGCTCTGATTTGTTGCTCGATATTGAATAACTGAAATATTGAGTAATACTTGGAGGCACTAGTTTAAACTTCCCTCTCAAAGACGTGACTTCAAGGATAACGAAATCAGCTACTGATTTCACATCGTTTATTAATATCCACTCGCGTATAAAGTACCTTGGAATCACCTTACTCAAGTAACAAATTGGATTGGACGCATCAGTGCAAACTGCATATTAAAGCATACTGATTTAATCTGAGTGTAAAAGTGACATGCAAATATTTCGAATTATAAAATACATATTTTAGTTAACAGCACAATAAAGTGTATTGAAGATTTTGCAATTTATATATGAGCACACATATTTTTACGTTATTTTGTATAGTGAACTTGTGCACTAATATGCATTGAGTGCGTCTAATCGAATTGAAAGAGTCATTCATAGTCGTAAATCAACCTGAAAATCTGATTTGAGCTTGGTTTATATAAGTCAATCTTTCATTTCAAAAAAACTTCTCAAACCACAATTAATATCCGATTCAAACTTTGAATCAAACCTGATTCGTCTGAAATGTGGATCAATCGCGGATGATATACGACTATAAGTACAGACCTAAAAGACATCTCGATAGAGCAGCGATTTGCGTAACATTCGACACGCGACCGTGTTCCACGTGCCCGTCCTAATCTCTCGTGAGCTCGCGTTCGATCGTACTCTTTAGGCCTGGGCAAACTTGCCTATCAGAACACTGTAAGAATACTGTAAATTGTGAAATCGTACGTCTCTGAAATTCCAAAAACCTCCGCCTGTTCGGCAAGACGTGACTCTCCATCGGAGAGACACACATACTTACATACTTACTTACTTACTTACTTACTTACTTACTTACTTACTTACTTATTACCTATTAAACGAATCTACCATATAGATATGACATCTCCCTTTTCGCTTATATCAACGCTTGTATCTAGGTACCTCGGAGAGATTTTTGCGCGTGCGTGTAAGTTTATATATATATATATATATATATATA